CCCCCCCTTGTTATGATTCCTAATTCTCCTGACCTAATTTGGATATTACATACGCCTAGATATTGGGCCCCGCGATACTGATTATCTCAAGTCTAGACTGTGATGCTCTTCGCCTGGTGAGCCAACCACTCTTGCCATGCCCCTGCAGGTCGGCTGTTATGCTCTTGGCTATGCTGTGTTGACACTTGAAGGACGATCTTTCTGGCAGCCCAAGAAGCACTGCCTTACTGTAGCCCCAAAGCATAGGGGTTGATGCGTAGTCTTATATGACCTGTGGAATGTCCTGTCTGTTGGAGGTGCAATGCATCGCTGGTAGTCGAGCTCGTGGAACAATTGGTTCTTCCAGAAGCCATTGCATTACCTGAGCAAACACCCTGTCTTACCAGAATTTTTTTTCATATCCACTCCACAATTATCAATTCAGTTCTCCGTATCCCAAAACGTTTTTCCGTGCTGTTTCGCTGTGGGCCCCCGGTGTACAATAGTAGTACGGGTCCGCTCAGCTTGCTAAGGCCTGGTCACCCCTCCCTGGTTAAAAGGCTGGCTCATTCCTTTCGAGGCACTTGAACCAGACATTGTCTACTTCTTGATATTCTCCTACTGTTCACGAGCAGGGAAGCCGGTGGCTTTTGCTCTCCATCAGTTACACTGCCTCACACCTCTTCTCTATTCCTATCTCTGATTTCTTCACCTCATATCTTATACATCACCGTATAGACCATAGTCGATCGGCACTATGAACGTTGAAACGAGCCTCCCTGGCTCGTCTGGTTCGGATCTGGAAACCTTCCACCATGAGACCAAGAAACATGCCAACCATGATTCCGAGATATCTGTCAATCACGAAGCCGGCTTAGGCGTCAACCATACATTCGAGAAACCAGGTCGAGTGGGCCTCCGCGAGCGTCTACGCCATTTTACCTGGGCCTGGTATACCTTGACCATGAGCTGCGGCGGGTTGGCCCTCCTAATTGTCAACCAGCCTCATGACTTCAAGGGCCTGAAGGACATTGCCCGGGTAGTCTACTGTGTCAACATTGCATTCTTCGTCATCGTTACTACTCTCATGGCCATCAGATTCATCCTGCATAAGAACATGTTGGAGTCTCTCGGCCATGACCGTGAAGGTCTCTTCTTCCCGACCTTCTGGCTCTCCATTGCAACCATGATCACTGGCTTGTACAAGTGCTTTGGTGATGACTCGAACGAAAAATTTACCAAGTGTCTCCAAGTCCTCTTCTGGATCTACTGTGGCTTCACCATGATCACCGCCGTCGCTCAGTACTCTTTTGTCTTTGCCACCCACAAATACGAGCTGCACACCATGATGCCGTCATGGATTCTGCCAGCCTTCCCTGTCATGCTTAGCGGTACCATCGCGTCCGTTATCGCAAGCGGACAGCCAGCTAGTGATGGAATACCTATGGTCATCGCCGGTATTACCTTCCAGGGTCTTGGTTTCTCTATCAGTTTCATGATGTACGCCCACTACATCGGACGACTCATGGAGGTCGGCTTGCCGAGTTCCGAACACAGACCTGGCATGTTCATCTGTGTTGGCCCACCTGCCTTTACTGCCCTCGCTTTGGTTGGTATGGCTAAGGCGCTGCCTGATGACTTCCAGATCGTCGGTGATCCCCATGCTGTTATCGACGGACGCGTCATGCTGTTCCTCGCTGTCAGTGCGGCCATCTTCCTTTGGGCTCTGAGTTTCTGGTTCTTCTGCATTGCGGTTGTTGCTGTCGTCCGCTCCCCGCCAAAGGGTTTCCACCTCAACTGGTTCGCCATGGTCTTCCCCAACACGGGTTTCACTCTCGCCACCATCACCCTGGCCAACATGTTTGAGAGCCCAGGCGTTAAGGGCGTGGCCACCGCCATGTCTCTCTGTGTCATCATCATGTTTATCTTTGTCTTGGTTAGCGCCATCCGGGCCGTTATCCGCAAGGACATCATGTGGCCGGGTCAAGATGAGGATGTGTCTGAATGATTCCTCACACCGCCTTGGTTCCTTTTCCATTTCTTGTCTCATATTTTAGCCTCAGCATCTTTTGGGTTTCAATGTTCTTGCATCTCTAGCGGTGAAATTCTGGTGAAACGATTATATGCATACACTATATTGAGCGCTCATTCTTTGTGTCAGCCTTTTTACGACTCCTTTGGGATTGTTGTTCTAGCTACACAGGCGTTTGGAATACATTATAGATTTAGAATTAGACTTTTCCATATCCTACAATCCCCTTTTTTTTTCATTTGTGATTCCACCGGAAGTTCCCTAGGGTAGACAACTAGTAATGGCCCACGTTCTCCTGCGTGAACAGCAACCCGATCCTTCTTGCTACACAATACGGACTCTTTCGTAGTGTGATGGTCATTACGAGAGACTGCGTGGAATGGTATTTGTCGCATCGATCCGTTCACTCTTGCCTCCGTTCACACTTCTCGACCGTTCACCATCTCCACTTCCTATTCGGGGCGAGAGATGTCTCCATTCCACGAGAATATGTGAATCCTGGTGTTCAGCGTAACGCCGTGAGGCTCTCATTCCACGATCTGAGCCCTCATTCCACGACTTCCTGTCTCATTCCCATGTATAGAGTGAACGGAGGCACTGGACTGTGAACGATGATCTGGACTCTGATGACTGATGATTCCCAGGTATAAAATGGCCCTCCTTCTCGCTTCAAATCTCTTCTTCGCATTATCCCCTCCTCTCCATACTCAGAACGGTCTCAAGCATCGATCTGACTGCTCATCAGTTCATCATACACTCTTTTGAATCATCTCTATCTCATCATCTTCATCTTCATCACACTCTCTTTCGAAGCTTAGATGGCTACTGTATCCTTTCATTACTTTCTTTTTCCTTTCTAGTGATTCCTTAACTTCCTGCTTGATACTGCTTCTGATGTAACCTCATTCTCTTGTCTGCTTCCCTTCTGTCAACTATGTATCCCCACTCAGTGTTTTGCCTCCCCTTCTACACCGCATACTGCCCCTCATGTAATCTCCACACTCTTTCTACTGCTTTCTTACGCTCGCCTCACACTCTCCATCATAACTTGTCAAGGAGGGGTAATATTCCTTGCTTTGGGGACCCTCCATCGCCTCACCTGATCACTTTCGTTTTTGGGCATTGGGGTTTAGTCTAACGAGCGGGGAACAACCCTAAGAAGCCGTCTGTTCCGATGGCACGACCTTCATTTGTTTCCGTTATACGTCACACCATCTCATTTGTGGTATTATTTCTGTTCTTCTTCATTATGACTCTCATTTGTGCTGTTTTTCTCTTTGGTGCCACGTGGGCCTGTCCAGTTGGCCTCACTCAAGTTTTGGGGCGGGATGAGATCGACTAGCAGCAACATCCGCCTCATCTCGCCTAGCTAAACTGGAAAATCTCAGCTCGCATACGGAGTACTTTCTAAAACCCCCCCGGGGAAATACCGGCTACTATGGGTTTGACATAAGCCGGCTTCTCCGAATTCCCCGACCGTCGTGGGCATACATTCGGCTTCGGCATGCCGGGGGAGGCTCTCTTTGCCACGGCATCTCCAAGCTCATTAACGCCGAGATACCCACAGTAAGCATAAAAAAGCCCCTGGTTCCAGCCACTCAGGAAAACTAACCCCACTTGGTCAGGGCACACCATGGGGATACAATCACCTTTTGGGTCACCGGTCTTGCCTCGGATGAAGTCCGTCGAGCAACCTGCCACTCTGTCATTCTTATTGGAAACAAGACAGAATAGCGTTGAAAAAAAAAAGCTCTTCTCGGCGACGATCCAGCCCTCGATCGGCTCACTGTGCCGGAAGATCGTACCTCGGCCATCCAACCACATCCCCTCGATTATTATGCATAAAGCGCCTTTTTGTGCTTATTCGACTTTGCATTTCTTGTCCTCTATGCTTATCCTCATGCCAATTTTCATTAATCTTTTCTTTGCCCCCCACCCAACGCGCCGACCGAGCGGTTTGCATCTCCGCAGCAGTTCTGACTCGCGTCCCCCTCTTCTCCAAAAGCCGCCTCGTTCGTGGCTCCCTTACGACTCCTTATTGCATTGTCTCTCGTAACAGAATCACGCCATGATGCCTCAACAACTCTGAGACGCCCTTGCACAACTCCGCGGGACATTTAGTCTCCATCGTTCACGTGCAGTCCACCCCCGATGATCTGTGGCCGCGTTAGTGATTTCTATGACATACTGAAATCAAGCCCCATGGAGAAGCCCTGCGCCGACGATTCTGATTACGGCAACTCACCCGGCACGGTTTATACGCTGCGAGACCATTCCTATACTACCCCATCTATCATTCGGTGGAGATGGCATATACGAGACTTCTCGACCTTGATTGGCTGGCCCAGTCTTCATCAACACCACTGACAGCTCTCACCTATACACAATGGATAAGGTGCCAATCAGTGCATAATTTTATAATCTCCAAAACGGTGTGCGACATTTCGACGCTTTGCAACAGTGTCGCGAATGGTGATTACAATTTTAACCGTCGCTGCGTATATATATCGACACTATAAGCCATCGAACACATCCGAAGGGCCAGCGGGCAAGAAGAAGTGCACCACTGTATTGTACACAATATATATTCCGGACTTTCTGAGCTCATCGACTCTTCGGGCTACGCTATATATCGGAGGAAAACAGAGAAACTTTCGAGGCATCAGAAGGCTTCGTCGATCGGAACGAAAGCGACCTAGTGACAGATCCTCGTCACTTTAACAGATCAAGCACTGGCTCATCGGCTCCTTGACCTACGACACATAGTGGAAGAACAACAGAGGAATTTCCGAAGCATCAGAAGGCTCCGTTGATCGGGACGAAAACGACCTGATAATAGATCTTCGTCACTTCAAGCGATCCAGCACCAGCTCATCGGCTCCTTGGCCTACGCTGTATATTGACAGGATGAGTGTGGAAGCTTTCGAGACCTCAGAAGGCTTCGTCGATTGGGACAATAATGTTCCTTTGAACCCGCGAAATTTCAATCGCGATGGGACGCTGGCTTGTCGATGCCGCGCTTGAAGGGCCACTGATGTACGCTTTCGACATTCTGCAGCCATACATTCTTTTTCCACTCACTGCTTCGAGCCGAACAACCAGTTCTTCGAAACGACAAACTCAAGTCATTCCTTCGCTTTATATACTGGCGCTACAATCACCACGACGTTTCACCTCGTCGCTTCGATTAGTTAGCTTGCTCTAGCTTCAGCTCCTGAAGGGCTCGAAAGGAGACATTGAGGGTCATTGTTCGTTGGGCGGTCGCTCCTCTTAGCGTTCGACTGCTCCCTCTATATATCTTTCCATCGCGGCTGGTCCTTGAACGATGGTATAGCCTCCAGAGTGGCAATCAAAAAGCTCTATGAGGCAGCTTTCTTTAGGAGCATCAATTCGATTCCCACATTGGAAGAGTTCGCTCGATGCAACCTATCAGTTGACGGGGCTCTCCTGAAACCGGAATCTCATTAAAGCGAAGAAAATCTTGAACTGCGACGATGGTCTCCTTATTTTTCCGTCGCTTCATTGCTCCGTGGCGTTCTCGCTTCGACGTCCACTGCTCCCTTGTCTCATCTCCTGAAGCCTAAAGCATTTCTTCGCTTCATTGCTTGGTCGCTTTATCGCTGCTTCACTTCGTCACTGTGCCGTTACATCGCTGCGTCACTTTATGGCTGCGTCGATGACATCCTGGCCAGGTCCTGCACTTCAACGTCTGCAGCATGTGCAAACGCCCCACTGCTTCCAAGAACCACGACGAAAGACATCGGACTAGCACTTCAAATATATCATGTCTCTCACATCTTTCACTTCTCGAATATCGATGATCGAGGTTAAGCTTGCCAGAACGGCACCGAAGCGGAGGGCATCAACGCAGGCAATGGTGATGGCTCCTCATTGAAGATAGCATTAGCGATTCTAAGACCGAAAAGAAACGCTCTGCTTTCATTCTGGACAAGACTGGGGCTTCATGAAGTACAACCAGCATTGGAGAAACACCGCAACCCGGTCGCTCGAACGCATGACTGGGCTGAACAGTCTTAGCGATGAGCTCAAACTTCAGTCTGCTCGCTGCATAGACCGTGGTCTGTCTTTCTGTCAGCCTGACATTGGCTGTCCAATCTCCAACATCATACCCAAGTGGATTGAGCTGGTGTACCTTGGTTCAAGAACCATCACGAAAGGCACATCGGATTCAAGGTATTTTGCAGGCGCTATCACTGGGAAGCCTGACTTAATCATATATGTAAAGGCTGGAGTCAATACCTCCGAACGCGACTACGACCAGTGAAAGACGTTAACTCTCGCAACAACGATGGCTCCGGCAAAGGCCTTATAAACGACCACCAACCGTCTTCGAAAACTACGACGCAAGGCAATATATATACGCGATGGAAGCCAACCTCGTCAAGGATGCCTTGGCACATCGGAAGCCACAGGACTGGACATTGGAAGCCCCAGGAATGAGAGGACAACTTAAGGAGTGAGAATGCTTGCGACATTGGCTGCTGTCGCAAACGCTTTTCACTAAGACTCACAAGACTCGGAAACAAGACTCATTGGTGGTACCTCGTGGCCAACTCCCAAGGTACAGCCATCATCATACTTTCCTATATACACTCAATGTACAAGATGCCTTGGCGAATGCGGGAAGCATCAACAAAGGAAAGGACATTGAACAGATGACTTTGTCTGCGACAAGTGTTTCGTCCAGACCGGCCAGCGTCGGCTGAACGCTCCTGGCATTTACCAAAAGCAATTGCATTGGCGCAGGTTCGCTAAATACGACGCAAAGCATCACTTTCTCCAAAAGTGTCGCCGCGATTGGGTTTGCCAATTACTATGGAAGGCATCGTTCTCGCCAATATTACGACGATGGCCTTCCAGGTTGGTAATACACAATCGCCAGGACTTGCGCAGCAATGGAAAGTCTCCTAGAACTACCTGATTGTTCCGTCGCATTATGTCTCCCTCCAAAAGTGACTGGTCGCTGCGAAAGCTCATCGGTCTGTTCATCTTTGCAAGTCCAGAGTCAACGAGTCTGAGCTCATCTCATCGAGCTATGACTGAAGGCAGGGTTTGCCAATTACTACGGAACGCATCATCTGCCTTGAAGCAGCGCTGAAGACATCAAGGATGCAGCCAATGGGGATCACACAGCATAAATTGCTTGCGGGAATCGTTGGCTGATCCATCGGTTGCATCGTGTCACCTTCATATGGTAACTGGTCGCTGCGAAAGCTCATCGGTCTGTTCACCTTTGCAGGTCCACAGAGCCAACAAGTTCGAACTTATGTATTCGGGCTTTGACTGAAGGCAGGATCTGCCAATTACTACGGAACGCTTCATCTTTGCCCAGCATAACGAGGGAGGCATCAAAGACAAGGCCACTGGCAAAGCGCACAGCATAAATTGCCTGCGGGAATTGTCCCCTAATTCTTCGGTCGCATCATGTCGGCTTTGGATGAGGGGATTCAGCCATCTGGCATCAAACGGCATAAATTGCCTGGAGGACTTGTCACTTCATTGCTCCGTTGCAACATGTTGGCTTCGGATGATGGACAACTCCGTCTTGACAGCATTTTTACGCCTGATTGACCTTACATCTGCCGACGAAACTTATATCTCTGCACTTGCTCTGACAGACATGCCTCCTTGCATTCTCCGTCTCCGTACAGAAAGCAGCCTTACAATGAGCGAACGGCACAGCCATCGCCTCATCCGCGATCTAGTCGCTCATAAGGATGCCATCTTCGGTGAATTGAAACACTGGTCCGGTGTCATGGGAATCAGAACATCCACCGACCATCCTCGCGTGGATATTCCGCCCCAGAACATCAATATCCTCGACGGCAACGCACTCGATCTCGCGGCTGAGTGTTCGTCCTTTGAGGCGCGAATTGCTCGCTATGGCAGTATTGAGCTCTTCCTGGGTGGTGTGGGTCCAGACGGGCATATCGCTTTCAACGAACCAGGCTCCTCTTTGAGCAGTCGTACTCGTGTCAAGACCCTGGTATATGACACAATCATGGCTAACTCGCGGTTCTTTGGCAATGCCTTGGATTTGGTGCCGCGGAGGTCACTTACCGTGTGTATTCAGACTATCATGGATGCTCGCGAAGTTGTCATCGTGGCTACCGGTGCTCACAAGGCTCGTCATCAGCACGGATGAGAGCAAGTCGGGAATCGCACAGCATTAATTGCCTGCGATGTTCCGTCGCAAGATGTTGGATGATGGGACACAGCCATCTGGAATCACACGGCATAAATTGCCTGCAACAATCATCGTCGCCTGACTGTTCCGTCGCTTCGGATGATGGCTGGTAACTCAGAGGCTAGACTCACTCGACTTACAAACGTCTCTGACTGATCTAGTAACCCTACGCTCTTCATGCGGTCAAGGACGTTGATTATGCTACCTTCGAAAAAGAAAAAATAAAGACAGAAGGAAGGGAAAAGAAAAGAAAAGAAAAAAAAGAAAAAAGAAAAGGAAAAAGGGAAAAAAAAAAAAAAAAAAAAAACCCCTTATAAATAGAAGGCCTCCGAGCTCTGGTATGAACCATGACGGAGTGCGTCTCGATTACAATCTTGTCCTTCAAAGGAAGCTTTTCGAAGAAAAAAGCCCATACGAGACATGCAAATTCGTGCACGAAGTCTACAAGGATATCATCATTCTCACCGGCTACGACCAAAAGCCAAGCACCAAGCTACGTACAGCTGTGATTTTGGACTGCGTCACAAGCTCGCTTTACACAGCGACGCATGGTGCTCGTGGAAATCGCCTACCTTTCATCATCGCAGAAAATAAGCGAGAATACAAAATGGTGGTGGAATCACTCGGAGGCTTAGTGGGTGTCATTGCCACTCAAAAGCGCGATTGCGACTTCGTATATCGATGGTGACCTCGACTTAGTTGTCACTCTCACAGCCGTCTTGAGATCTCCGACACAATCTATATACAATTTGACCCAGTGTCTCAGCACACTGCTGCGTCGACTCTTATAAGACTACAACGATCATCTTCGGATCCAGCAGCGATGCGATATCTGATGGGGCCTATAATATCACGGTCGCAATCGACAGTTCCGATGCTTTAGTTTCACGCATTCTTCCTAAAGCTGTCCAACCTCTGCTACCGCATCCGAAACCTCAAGCTCACTTCGATCGAGCGACCCAGCTATGACTATTGCATCGCCGAATCTTCCAAGCATGGCATGGCTTCACAAAAACGTGTCACTGAGCCTTGCTACAGTTTCTGGTCGATTTTATAGCAGCTATGGTGCCTATTATAACTCATCGTAACACACAACGATGTCCAGTTGCTTTTTCCATGCGGTATCTGCCAATCGCGTCTTCTCGTCGAAAAGAAAGACGAAGAATATTATATACGGCTGCTTGAGTACCTAGGTGGACTCTGAACTTGACGACGCTCCGTTTAATAGTCTCACTTTGGGCCTGGACGGGTATTTCGAAGATTCATCTTATATATGCGGCCTTCGAGCTTGCTTTCAACCTTGACTTTACTGGGGAGATGCTGGATCTTTCTGAAGGCGATCTCTTGCTTGAGTCATCTGCTCAAATGGAAGAGATGTCCAAAAACGCGTCTTAAAATCATCATCTAGATATTTTTTGGCCACGTCGCATGGTATCAGCCATATCAGAAAAAGAGTGAAACGAGCAAAGGAAGATCCATCTTCGGCCATCGAACTGGCAAAGGCAAGCTCATTAGCAATCACCATGAGCGAGGTTTACCCAAGCTCATAACAACCGTATTGCCGGAAGCGCATTTCTTAGTGTAGCAGGTGGCACAGTGGGTGATCTGTTTGCCCGGCATGAGCTAAGTACACCGATGATGCTCTACACAAGTTCTCCCTTCATCGGTCCTGAGGTGAGCCGTGATTGCCAATAGAACCGACAGCAAACGCCTTGTGTCAAATGCTCCATCTCGAATTGTTGGCACACGGTCTGGATAACGAAGCGACATCTACTTCTTCAAATTCTCAAGTGTGTCCTTACGCAAGCGACCGTGGTATCGCCTTTTCCAACCCATCGCTTGATTCTTCTTATCTTGCCGGGAACATATTTCTTCGATTGCTCTTTCTTCCCGCAACCATCTGCTAGAAGCCGACATCGAATTCTCTTGAGCTGAATGGCCGAAGGCGATGCATCCAGTGGGTCGGTTGCGACCATCACTGTCGCGGTATAGTTTCCAATGGGTCGGTTGCGACGACATTCTTCACAAAAGAGGAAGCAGCCAAGATCTACTGTGGTTGCTCGAATTCTCGGGCGATGATAAAGAGACAGCACTCTGTCGCGAATGCACTTTCGGTTCTTAACAACCTCGTGTCAACAGGCGAACTCCAATTTCATCTACATCAAACTCCGGCTGTGGTCTCGGTGCATGCCAAAGCTTGGTGAAGATCAATGATCGAGACGGCGACGTTATCGCTCTCAATCCTTCGACGCAGGCTCTCATTTGGAAGAAAACACGTCATGCAAATACCTAAATTGCCTGCTTGAACGTTGGGATCAAAAACGCGGGTGACATCGACCATGGCTTCATGTCTTCGTCCTCTGATCACTCTCAATAATTACTAGCCCTTCGACACTGGCTACTAATCTCATTCTGCACGAATACATACCTGTGTTCTTGTATCTTTTTTATCAAGGAACATTTAAAAATCTCCTATTCTTTAGTGGTAGATCTAGCCGATCAAGCGTTCACCTGATCCCAAACACACAGGAGAACCAAGCACAAAGCGACAACCATCTCTACGAAAACGTCTAACGCATTCGGCTTTCCAAAGAAACGAAGAGGATTTGAAGCACCCAATATCCCGTGCCATGGCCCGTACGCATCACGAATGATTTTGTAAAGCTGGCTGATGCGAGAGCGCTTACCTTTCCACCACAACAGGCTTTCGCAAATGCAATTGCCTTTCGATGCTGCAATCAGCAATGACTGGGTTGTATACGAAACCCAGCAGGGCGATTCCTCTATCACGCTGGGAGATATCGTCGATGTTGGGACCACTCATCCGGATCATAAAACCCATGCCGTTACATTTATATAACTCATAGCTCATTTCTCAAACGAGCCAATTCTTTTGCTATGACTTAAGAACACAAGGACGCTTCTCTTAAGCTTCAGAAAGCTAGTCGAGGTCATATTACACTCCCGAGTGGAAAGCGCTCCTCGATTACCGTTTCACTGCGCGGTTTTAGAAAGCCAATACAACCAACTTGCTTCACAAACCGGTTCAGCTCAGACGCACAAGTTAAAGCCATTGGATCGCCTTCTTTATGGCTTGGGCTATCGATCTATCGAAGAGTGAGGGCGCTAGGATTTATCGATCATTCTGAGCGACCCATTCGCTTCAGAATGACTATATCCACTGGAGAATGAAGCGAGCATTTCGCCCATGGAGAAAAAAATGACCATGGGTATCTCAGATATCTTGCGTCGGAGATGATGACGACAATCGGTCGGAATTTCACTATAATCCTCACTTCAAGAACGAATGTGGAACAAGATCAAGGCCATCATTAATGTCGTCTTCTGGCTCATGTACGCAAAGTATGATAGCATGCTATGGCCTATAGCCTACGTTTATATCGAGTGGCTCATTTTGAAGCCAACTTAACGCCTGGTGGTAGTTTTATCGCCAGAAGGGATCAGACGAGACGGTATCCAGCACCTTCTCAGGCTTGGTGTCTGTGGAAGCGGTCATATCCTCCGTAAGTTATCTGTCGCTCAGCTTGATGCTATCTATGTGGTTACTAACGTACGTATTTCCAGAGTCTTGATCGACCGACCGAAGGATCTCCATGGATCGCTTCTTCATCTTCAGATATTATACACAGTCTTCGCTCCTCGTTCTGATTTTACTACAAGGGCGAAGATTGAAGATCGACTTCAGCTACGATCTTCCGAAACTGCTTGCAGAGTTCCACCAATGCTGCTTGCACCATGCACGGGAGCCGACAGTAACTTCACCAGAGAAGTTTGATCGACTATATATCTCTATCTTGTCCAATACGGTGATGATTGGGTTCATCCTCGACAAGATCTTGCACAAATTTGACGACGAGGCACCTCGCTTCTATCTCTACTCTTCCATGTAATGGCGGGTGTCTTCTACCATCGTCAAGAGCTTGAGCATCTACTCAACAATTTGACAACCTACAGCAATACAATACATGCTGCTTAAACACATGAAGATCCTTCATGCTAAATCTGCCATATTTGACTGGGAAGATTGCAAGGCAGCAACGCGAGCAAGAATGGCCCTGCCGTTTGCTTTTCCGTCACAACTTGAACAAATGGCGGCTTGCACAATATTATACCAACACTGAAAGCGCTGTTCCATCCTGATCGAAAACTTATAGTAGAACTAGCGAGCAAACTCGAAAAAGCTCGTGCTGCATCTTTGACGGACAGCAGAATGGAATATAGTCATCTTCATGACAGCCTTCTCTTCGTGCCATTTATACCTTGCTTTTGCATGCTCATACTCAGTCCTTTCTAGATCTGGTGGACGCCAAATTCAAGGAAAAAGGCGGCTGAAAATTTCGAAGTTCGAAGACGGTTGCATTGAATTAGCAATGGAAAGCTTAGCGGTCTGCTACAACTAAGACGAGATCACTTTCGAATGAGTGTGCTTTTCTCGTATTGACCAAGATACGTGGGTGATCCTGTCAAGAACCTCGACTGTCCGTCTACAAACAGGAAGAACGTATCTAGCCTACAGCCGATACGATGGTGCAGCGTTCTAGCTCCCGAAGAGAAGGGATTGCCTTTCGATCTAATCACAGCATTGAGGCTATCAATAAGCTAGCGTTGTTCCACTTACATTCTTCAGTGATCTCTGAGTCTAGCGAGTGGTAGAGTGGATAAAAGGAAAATGGAAGGTCGTTGGCATACTTAACAAACCTACTTCCACCGAGACCACAAAGAGCCACGTCAAGCTCTGTCGATGGAAAAGCCGACCACAATTTCGAATTTCCGGAGACCAAGCTCGACGAACAAATCTTCTTGCCCAAAGAAACAGACTATGTAATTCAAGAAGGGTTTGAATCAGTGTCATTCAAACCGGAGTTCAGCAAAGCTCTATATAAACATGCCACCTCACATCGGCAGATACTGGCTAAGAACAGGGCCTAAATGGTGCCACTCTTTGGCTTACGCGAAGCAAAATGTCACACCTATCGAATAAGAAGCCATGTGGACAGGGGGTCGGACTGGATCCTGCATGGAAGTCGAAATGCAATATCTGTGGCTCACAAACTGGAGCTTCCCAAACTTCGAAGATGCATCCGACGACAGTGACATACTCGATAAATTCTGGAACTTGTTAGTTCTACCATGCGCACAATACATTCGAGGCAATGCTCCAGTAAAAAAAAACAACCTGCCAATTTACAATTGACCTTTCCTCGAACTCACGCACTTCAGTCGCTGCCGATTGACTGGTTCAATCACTGCGTTGGCTGTGATGCAGTCCCAAAAGAAGCCCCATCAAACTTATTATCGGGCTCATGGTCGAAAAATGGTCGGAGAGAAGACGCCAGACTTATATTTGACGAGAACTATAGTTTACTCTCTCGACAGTGATCGTTCAAAGGAGGAATACAATGCCATGGCAACTTATCAGGCCAAGTTGACAAGACTCGTCCTACTCTACCTCACCATGTCGGAACGGTGTTCTACTTTTACTCTACAAAGACTATGATCCAACGAATGTTATATAAAGGTATCAAGCTTATAGCCAAGGAATATTTTCCTGATGATCGGGAACTGGTGTCTTCCCTCTGACTCGGGTTTCCCTCTTTATTTACAACATGGGGGCTCAAATTTAATACCTCTTGCCGACTGCGCCTCTAAAAAAGCCAACCATATGCGCATATATCAGCGCTTCGTGGAAGTGGCGACCCCGACAGCTGAAGAACAGTGGTTTGGGTTCTCTATCTACACAAACCCAAGTCCTGAACATAAAAAGGAAGCATTTACGAACCACTGGAAGCCACGAGCCACGTTGGCTAGTCAAAAACATCTCTACTTCTTACATCATAACTAGCCACAAGGACAGGAAAGCCGATCTTCCATATTGATGTCCTTCTCCCCGCTTCTAAGGACCCCAGGCGTTCGTCGACTGCCTTAGTGTTTCTCTGCTTACTTCTGCCTGTTAAGCACTAAGCTGACGGTTGGGCTTGCGTTTCTGACGGACAAAAGTCTCAGCGAGTGGTAGTTCTACTTGTCTACGCTCCATTGATCTTGCTAGATTGCTTGATTGATAGTTGCTGCTTGGAAGGTACAGCGACCTGCTTGGAAGCTGCTCACCCCTGTTTCGATGGGCCTGGTTGATGCTTCTTTATCCTCTCTTTATCTTCCTGGAATCAGGCTTGCGACATAGAACCTCCAACCAGCCAGCGCGCAGACAAAACTCATCCGGCTCCGTCCTTTAGTGAATCATCTATACACGCGAGGAAAAGTTATAAAGCGGCCCTTTAGATATTATCTATTATCTATGACCTGGACAGACGCGTTATAATCTCCGCTTAATCGCTTGCGAAGGAAAAACCGCGAAGTCACGCGCTACGAATGGCGAGTTGGTACACTGGGCTTTCTCAACGCCTTTCTATCGACGCAGCATTAGCTGTTGGATACAGCAGTGTGGTTTCATCCGATCACTGCGAATTGGCGTAGGTGGACAACTCCTCCACATCAGCCTCGCTCTTCCTAGAGTTTCCGGGCGATGCCTTGTCCACTGTCAAGTTATCCACCGCACTGGTCATGATTGGCTCGGGGTCCTCTCTGCAGACGCCATACTTGACTTCGACATGGCGCTCGGCACCAAAGTCAAGGAGGAAGATGCACATGAGCGAGGTCACTGACACATTGATCGAAAGGTCCTTCAAACAACAGATTGCCGCCTTCCTCATTCTCGAGTTCGGTGTTATCTTCCACTCCGTCATCATTGGTCTGAACCTGGGAGTTACCGGCGACGAATTCGCGACGCTCTACCCGGTCCTTGTCTTCCACCAGTCCTTCGAAGGTCTGGGTTTTATGTTTACAGGTACTAAGGTACCATATCTTGATCGAAAGGATGGCCATGCCACCATATTATCTCTACTTGATATCCGCGAAGAGAAGCCGCGAACTTATCCGCTATATGGTGGCAAATTGTTAATGGGCTTTACTAATGGCCTTTTAACAACGCAGCATTATTATACGCAGTAATGATGAATTATCCCATTACCGCGAAGCAACAAGGGCATGATCTTTAAAGGGTACAATAGTACCGTATTCCGGCAGTAATGTGGATTCATCCGATTACTGCCAAGCATGCTTGCACACCTAAAGGCATGATCCATAATAGTACCATAGTACTATATTAAAAGTACTATGGTACCATATTAAAGATACTTTATCGACCGGACAAACGGTCTTATCTCTATATGATCCCTAAAGGCCGAGATAGTCATCTCGAGACTCGCTTCCCACTACTTATGGTGGTCTTCTTTTGAACATATCGACAACGGGGCTTATATTTACGACTTATCTTCCTAGTCTCTGGGACGTACGTGGATGGAGCATGAAGCTCTAAGCATGCTTGAAAGCTGTCGATACTCTTTTTCCTCCATTCTAATATCGAGGACAAAGGGGTACCTAGCACATGGCGTGTCCGTGCAACCTTTGACGCTAGAACCGATGTTCCTAAACATCTGCATCTTCTCCGCCATCCTGTTTAGTACCTTCTATCTTTTATTCGGTACGTTTCAGTTGGTCTTTGAAAGCATATATGGCTTCGAGCTATGGCGGCGACGGTCTTTGTTTCCTGAGCCTGTTCGTCGGGATGCTCTTTGCCATATTCTCGGATCCTTTCTGGCGTCGCAACAGAAATGGCAGACGTTCTAGCCATCTTCCGTGCTTAATGCGGACAAGGAGAAAGAATTAAGACAATTCCTATCCCCTTTTTATCACGCCAAAGATTAAAGCAAAAGGCAGATAACCTGGTTTAAAACAAAACGCAGGATCCAGAAATAAAGTAACCATCATGATTAAGATGGCGGATTTCCCAGCTGAGGCGCCGTGTTACTTATTGCATGGACGTACCATCCGGCATGGATTATTATCCCACTTTAATAAGCTCGACTGGTTCTCCTTTGGAACGGTCTACCTAAAAGACCTAAAGAGCCTTGGATCATGGTCATCTTTACACGGATAAGTTAAACATTCGGCACTACTTTATCACATTTATCTTTGGATGGATAAATTACATGAGCCTCATATACTAGACTGGGAGTTCGCGGTGCCTACTCGACGGAGTAGTGAGAGTGAGCGGTTGAGGATAGACGCATGGCGCATTCTCTACATGAAGACCTGCGCAGATAGCCTCATACGAGGTCATTTTCTCAATTCGATCTGCGACTTAGCTTTCCTTGATTCAGGGCAGCCAAGACGATAAACGACGGCGATCGCTGGGAATATACATGGTATACCCCTTTTGGGACGGTCCTTCTATTGTTGATGTTGCCTTTTATGAGATTTACCCTTATTTCGAACTGCCCGCAAGACTCCACTTATCCAGGGCCGCGGTCTACTTATTTACTTCACCAAGCAATATGAATGGTGACTTACGATCGCTTCCTCCAGCTTGGGAGTCCAAAGTCGAGAGCATACGCCTCTAATCAAGGATATAAGGCCTTGCCTAAGCGAATTACTACTATATAACGATGACTGGCCCCTTATATCCTGGTGCGATCTACTCAACCGGCACACGCTGTCGCTATATAAATGACGCAGGAGTTCATGGAGTTGGATGCATGGATAGCTTCCTCCAAACATGTCTTTCCAGAAATTCGAGTGAAGACAAGTGAAAGCTTACAGACTTGTCTATTTCTTTGCCCCCTAAAGGACATGGACAATAAATGAAGTAGTTCGTCTGCTTATTAGACTTACGTCGAGGTGCGACTTACCCAGCCCTTTTAAGTGGCATGTATAATCGCCGGGGATACTTTCGCACAAGACTTTGTACTTGGCTGAATGGACCGACAGAAAATGCCCGTCAATAGTGTCTTTCCAGAAACTGGGCCCAGATGAGGAAGAGTCTCCGGACATGCTTGTCCGTGCTTTTGCCCTCTTATGAAGGATGTCGGGGGAGTCGCTACAGATAATATGCTTCTCTACATCTGTTTAGGAGCTCTAGTATGGTCTACCCCACACGATAATCAACCGACCATACTTCTCAACTCTATATAAGGCTACTATCAGCATCGCACTACCGTTGCTTTATACCCTTGCACTTGGAACTGTTTTCCGGTTCATCGAATATCCCGCATATTCGTTCGGCACCATGACTCTCGCCGAGGAGCTCCGCTCGAGTGTTTCGCGGGCTGTCGTTGTCTTATCTAGCATGATGTCGAGGCTTCTTATAAACATGTGCTGCTGGTGTTTAATAGGAACGATATCGTTCTATTGAAAGCTATGGGTTATAATGGCGACTAATGAGATGGAAGGAATCTTGGAATAAACTTGCATGTATTATTCAGCTCATAAATTGAGTTGACTTATTTGTATAAAAAAGAATTATTATGAATACGAAGCTATAATTTAGTTATAGACTTCTTTCTCCTACTTACACTTTCATCTTTACTGAAGTAGTAGTATGTTTCGTAGATCCTGGTAAATAAAGGAAGAAGAGCCATTATATAGTTTATCTACCGGATGTCAAACGAATACATGGCACTAAGCACCTCTCAAGAATACCAAGGAGACGAGCGAACACTTACTAACATATTCATGCCAGAATTCTTCGTTCCAATACTCAAGTGCAGGATAATCTCTTAACATTCAAAAACCAGTCATACTGTCGCGCTAATGACAAAATTAACATTGCATACAAATGGTGATAACGTCAACACCTTCTTTTTTCCTCTTTTCCTACGTGGTCAACGCGCTCTTTCTCTTTTGATCTTATCTTTCTATATATGAGATAGTTCTGTGTACATCGGATACTGCTGGTCTGCCTCTCCCAAGCTGGAAGCTTTTGCATATGGCATTCGGTCTATCCAGAATTGTCAACTTGAGTGGAGCGGGAAGTATTGCAGATCTTTCTGGCGATGATCGTGATGACTACAATTTCACTGTATTGCCCCGCTCAGTGAGTAATGGCTTGCTTCACAAAAGGACGCTACCCACTTTTTATCTAATGAGATATACTAGGCATCAATTATATAGAGTTAGAGTGTAAACAACGTGGTCATCTCGCCTCACATGCGTTGGATTAGAAGAGATCCACATTGGCAGAGTGGGCACATCGCCTCAGCTGATTCGAGGAGACTCGGACGGATCCCCACAACCTCGCGAAATGGCCCAAATAGGAAACTTTCATGATGCGGATAAGCTACATTAACCTTAAAAGGCCATATGGTCAATGTAGTATTCCCCTTAGGGGTAATCTATCTTCCTCTTTAGGCCAGATTGCGAACCTGTTGATCTATACGACGTGGGACAGCCTACTATTTCTTATAAATCGCAAGGTGACTCACGCTCATTATGAAACCCGCAGATCTATATGTTGGAAGTTATATAAGATCCTACTTTTCCAGCTGGAAATTGTTTATTACTTGATACAAGTGTTCAAACCGGCCCTATCCCAACAGCCATCGACACCAATTGTACATTTTTTTCCCAGACGCCTCTTATCTTTTAAATCATGGCCTTCAACCGTATCGCTGTCTATGGCCACCGTGGATTCGTTGGATCTCGAGTTGTCTCTGCTCTAATTGCCTCGGGAGCTCCAATCACAGTTTTGCATCGCCCTAGCTCGGATACTTCCAATCTCCCAGAACATGTGAGAAAGATTGAAGTCGACGTTCTTGATGAAGACGCTTTAGTTGATGCCTTGCAAGATATAGACATTGTGATGTTAGTCAGAGCTACTGCGCATTTATGACCTTTTCGGATCTGTGCTAATGGATCTGTCTCAAGTTCTCTTGTTGGAGACGAAGGAACCGACAGACAATATGGCTTTGTGAAAGCCATTCCTAGGACTAATGTCCAGCTTTTCTCTCCTTCGGATTTCTGTCTGCGCTATTGTGAGCAGGGAATGCGCATGCCCTGTATGAAGGCAAAAGCGAAAGTTGAAAAGGCTTCTAAGGATGCTGGGATTCCAACTACCGTCATCCATGTAGGAAATTTCGCTGAATTTACCTTGAGTACAACGTCAGTTGTCAACCAATCACCCGGGATGTTTATGCAGTAACTGACTTGCCACGAAAATTATAGGGCAGTGGGTGTTGATTTGCAGAATAACGTATTGGTCTACACTGGCAACTCTGCTACCGAACAAGTCACTATGTGGTGCGTTAACATTTACACCCAGAGACTCCCTTCATTTGAATCATAATCCCTTCGGTCTGATTTAAACTAAATTCCTTATAGCACCAAGGACTACGTAGCAGCTGCGTACGTGGACATATTCACCACCAGACCTATACATACTATCCAGAACCGGACTATCACCTTGTCAGAGCTTGCACCAACAGGCATGGAAATTGCTGCGATCATGAAAGAGAAAAACAGCAGGGAACCCTCTATTGCGACACGAAGCTTAGAGGAAATCAATCAAAGGATTGAGGATTCTCTCAGCAAGGAGAGTAATCTCGCTGTCCCGGCCTATTGCCGCAAAATGTGGGGAACGGGAGAAATGATGAAGATGCTTCCCGATGATTTATGGGAAGTTGAGGGTTACAGGAAAGCAAGTTTAGAAGACCTTGTCATAGGAGGAAAGTTGGATAGCTATAGAACTCTACCTGATCATGTATTGGAGTATCTTAGAAAGATTCTCTGAGATATGTTGCCAATGCTGAAATAATACCTTGTTAGTACATCATATTGATCCCTAATCTACCTCGTGATCCACCATAACAGAATTTCAGTCTTCCGTCCCTGGCTCGTTGACAAAAAGCGTCCCTTATTATAAAAATATGCCAAACAGTCAGTCATCTGTCCTTATTTCCTGCATCTTATTCTTCCGCCTCTTCAGTAGCAAACATCCTAGATCGAAAGTAGCCACGTGCGGTGAAATCTCGCTTCCATCTGTGTCCTCTCGAGTTGCTCCTGGTATCGACGCCTCATGCATTATCGCGTACGCCCATGAATCACAGAGTTGTCCCTGTATTACTACAATTGTATATCCTATCGGATGTAGTACAAAAAAAAAGGGTCCTCATTCCACGTACACTGGCAGAGGTAAGCCTCAATCACATGAGGTTCTTTAAGTGATCGTACGATAAGTGCTATCTCTTGTCGTGAAACGAGCTTGAAAGGTCCAGTTTGCGTGATAGGATGATCCTTGTGGTAGAGCCATTATGAAATATAAGTATGACTAGGTTCTCTTTCTTGAATAAAATGGCTTTATGTTTAGCATCGTACTCTTTCTTCATAAATACTGCAGTGACTTGCAAGGTGTCGTATGCTGTCGCGTGTCTTGGTATTTTTTTCACTAATACTGTTGATTAGTACCAGGTTAGATTTTGTGGGGAGGCGCATGCCATACATTAACTTATTTAGTGAGGCAACTGTTGAGGTATTCTTGCTGATAATGAGTATGGATTAGCGTAGGGCAGTAGGGAATACCAGTCCAACAGGACAGATCTCGACCAATTGGTTTATTATGTTGCTTCGACTATCAGTCTGGCAGTGGTAAGCTGTGGAATAACGTAATTTGGTTCTGAGCTTATTGCAAATACTGCATCAGAGATCTTTAACCATTTAGGATCATAATTACTGATAATACTCTTAGTATTCCCCTACCACCTATCACCAGATAGCCTAGGAGGGCTTAGGGCCCACTAAGCTGTGATCCAAGTATCTCAGCCTGCAATAAAAATGCTCTATTTGGTAATGTTATCCATGACGGAGCACACAGCAGTGAATTTGCCATCTCGTAGTACCATGATGATATCAGTGGTGATTGTATGGAAAGATCTGTTAGGAGGTATGATACGTTGTAGGGCTTCTGCATACTTCGTGGGATTTTCTCGATACTTGGTCACGCAGGATCGAGAGCATGGCACTCAGCTTCGCTCGCTGCTACTCTGACTAGGGTTCAGTCCTCCTGTGTTCGGTTCAATATGTTTATGTTTTGGCTTGTTCCTGGAGACTCAGTGTCATAATGCTTTTGATATCGATATTATATATCTTTATTCCACGACTTCTTGATCTTTTCTGTTCAAAGTCAATGTATGCGCGCGTAGAGACTTCTGCGGATATGGTGGCCTCTCTAATGTGGTATCAGTGATGATTGAAGATGGTAAGTTGCTTAGTTTGTTGGTGGAGTTGTCATAATTTTATATTTGGATTCGAGGATGGACTATTCAATTTTGATGTGTCAATTCAATCCTATAGTTAATTCAACCCATCCTTTTGAGTTAAAGTTATATTCACGGTCTTTGCACTTATCGGGCCTGCTATACAAAATGCTATGCTATTCATGCAGTGCTTCACTGTCTGAAGTAGGAAGTCGCCTTGAATATTGTCAATTCCCTCACACTCGCAGAAACAAAGGTAAGAGTGTTGTAAATGGAGTAAAAGTCATTGCTGCAGCTTAGCTGGACAAGGCTGAGGCTACGAGTGGTCTACAGAGCACCATAAGAACATGGATGATACGCTAATGTGAAATATTGGAACATGTTAGAATTTATGTATTGATTTCTATCCTCCCATTCGGGTTACAGCCAAGGAAAACTCCCCGTAGGGTAAAAACCTTGACCAGGACGATACAGAGTAGTCAATCTGAATATATAATCCCCAACCACCATCAGTCTCCCTATTAGATGGTTAGTACCAGTATATAGGGATATCTGTTCTGGTTCACTAACCTATCGGCTAACTCTCCTCGCTTCCCTGCGGGGTGGCACTCTTTGTATTTTGGCCAGCCTGCAGAGCCATCAGTACTAGTTTCAAATAAGCGGCAGGACTACTTACAAGCTCTGTCACTTACTGGGCCTGCCACTGTGCAGGTACTCGCTCTTGGTTATATCCCCTCCTGTGTATGCTAGGTGCCCCAGTGGAAATCAACCGGGATATCCCAGCGCTCGATGACTGCCTTATTTTAGCCATATAAGAGAGATGTTGACAGGTATAAATGGCAGGCAGTTTAGTGCTGGGCTATAATAACGGTCAGCATATATCCCTCCCTCAATATGACAAAAGGGTACTGACATATCCACGGTAGAGGCTAGCCTGACGTGCGGACGATCTTTATCCAGCCTAAAATGGTCAGATCTGACCTCAGCCTGCTGACGAGGTATGACATACAAGTTCTGTCACTTACTGGGCATGACCGCAGCGCCAGGCATCGAAACAGGAGGACAGATAAAAGAGGAGGAAGGGCCGATGGCGGCCAGGAATGGGAAGGAGAGAAAGGATGGGTGGAAGGCACTGATTACGTTAGAGAGGCATGATATGATGAGCAAGAGGACTAACCAGAGCATTTCCCTTTTGGAGCTAGCCTGCGTGGTGGGTTGCATGTTTTTAGCCAGCCTGGTGACTGTCAGTATAAGAAGCAGCAAAGCATCTGACTGTGACTCACAAGCTCTGTCACTTACTGGGCCTGCCCACGGGGCGGCTTATGCTCAGAAAGGAGGTGTTAGGCAACTATCCCTGCTTTATTGCTCAGTTAGTAGCCAACAGCCTTGCCGTCACACAAGCACCACCAGAGAAGCTCTGATGAAACCCATGCTAGACAAGGTCAAATCCCTCGGTATGCCCACCAAAAGAGCCTAGACGGCGGTCAGCCCAACCAGACCTGAACGAGCACTTACCCAAGCAGCATGTTCATGAAATCGCTCGAAGCAGAAACAGGGAAGGAACGACGGCGAGGAATACCTGTGAAGAGATGGCAGTTAAGCAGATTAGCAAGGGCAAGGAAGGTTGAAAGTGGAAGAAGAGAGTAAGAAAATAAAGGGAAGGAAGAGAGAAGGATAGGAGAGAGAAGAGAATGAAAGAAGAGAAAGAAGGGGGAGGGGAAGGCCGTCATTATCGCCAGAAAGACTAGGCCGAAGACGGGCATACAGACACCGGCAGGGAAGGAGCAGATGCAGAACTGCGACTTCCTCTTCGGGAAGGTTCGAGCTGCATGGAGAGGCGGGCAAACTGCATCCAAGTCGGGATGACACTCCAAGGACGAGCAAGTGCGGTCAAGGTTGAACAATCCATCTGGTATCGGTCTCTCGCAAAGCCGGCTGCCTGTCGAACAGCATCGTTAAACGAACGAACGATCTGGTGTCAGCTTTAGAAGAATCGGAAAGACGAGCGTCAAGTCGAAGCATCGGGTATCGCAATCCATGTCGACGGCGTAGTCACGGGTGTACGGGCATCGACGGTTCTGGCAACGTAATGGCAAATTCTCCGATTCGTAGGCGAGCTATGTTCCTAATGAGGTGGGCGGGAAGGCGACGGTGTGGATAGCTGGATTTGTATCATGTCAAGAGAGTACAAAGTCGGGGAAGAAATCAGGACGGAGCCGAGCATCTTATATTCATGCTATTTCTATGTACAGGAACGACGATCCATTCTCGTCTCAGAAACTTAAACTTGCTGCATGAAGCACGTCGGTTAGGCCGCAGCCAGCAAACCCTACTTCGAACTGCCAATCCCATTCCATCTTCGAGTGGCTCCCAGCGGTGAGGTGGAAGCCCACATACCAAACAAATAAAGGGTATCACGGAAATATGAACAACAAAGTGCCTCACGAGAACACCCACTCGCCAGTCCGAAGCATCAGATTGCCCGGCCAGGAGATGGGAATCCAACAGGCCAAGATCCGGGCTGCGGTGTGCGGCGAACAGCTGTCGGCTGGGCGCCAATCTCAGCCACGTGGCACATGACCCAAGTGATGAGCGATGCAACTTGGCGATAAAGAAGGTAAAAGTCGGAGGTCGAAGACGAAATGCAGCTTTTATTAGAAATGACGTGGTCTGCGCTTTTCCCCTCAGTGGAGATGAAACCATTGCCCTTCCCTTGCGCCTGCGTGATACACCGCTGTCGCCAGGGGCAGTACCCGGCGCTCACATTGGGCAATCAGATGCAAACTGGCCATACTCTGAAACCACGCTGTGACAGGGCCCTTGAAGCTCCACTGGACAGACCACCGACCAGAAAAGGTCGGTAATACCTGAAACAGCCGACCGCGGAGTTGATGTGAGGCTGATGTTGGGTCTTCAACAATCAAGCAACCTTACGGCCAACGTTGCCAATGCCGCGGCCAACCACACTGATGATCACATCCCCATTCTCATTCTCACCACTCGCGTCTCTCAGACCCCAACCTGGAGCACCGAACTTGGTCAGGTCCCTGGCCAGCTGGATGGTGCTCTCCTCGGCGATCACGTCCCGACCAACTTGGATTCGTCCAACATCCTCCGATCCCATCGTCATCAGACCCAGCATGGTCGGAACAGCTGCAGGGGCAACGCAACCTCCCTTCGAAACGGCCTCGAGTAGCTGGTAAGCACATCGCTTCCCAATGTCTTCAGGCGCCTCGCCGCCTGCGGGAGGCGACGCCACATCGGCGGAGAACAGGCAGCCAGTAGACGACTCAGCGACCAACGAGAGTCCGAAACCAAGACCAATCTTCTTTTTCGCGGAGGGGTTGCTCTTCTCGGGGGCAGGCACGAGCGGCGCCGACGACACATCAGAGAAGATATAGGTGTCAGGGACGAGTGGGTTTAGAACACCACGGGCGGTTTCGATCATTCTTGCGTTATTGGATGCGGAAACACCGACGGAGTAGGCCACACCGCGGACCTTCTTGATGCGACCGGCGTTCATGAGGTGCAGGGTCTTCGGCAGCCGGAGCTGGTGGCCAAATACTAGCTGAACTTCTCCACCACCGCCTCTGCCATTGGGTCCAGGGTTCGATCGCCGTAGGATGCGCAGCTCGATGTTGTTGAAAATTCCAAATTGGTTGTAGAGAGGGAGAATGGCAGTACGCACACTGTCCACGGACATGTCACCATTCGGGGTGGACGAGGTGATCACACCTGGACCAGTAAAAAGGACCTTGATGGGCGCCTTGGAGAAAGGTGCCAAAAGGCAGAGCGGCAGCAGATAGTAGCTCACACCACGATTGCACCCTGCAGGGAGCTCGTGCCTGACGACACCTCCGCTGCTCGTGGCCACGCCTGGCGAACTGCCTGTAATGAGACCGGGCTTATAAACAAGGATAGTACCGGTGTATGAGATCTCCATCTGGGAGCCATTGGTAATGGACTCCAGGAGACGGAGGAAGGAAATTTCATGAGGAGCGAGACCGGGATTCGTAGGCGACGAAGGACGGATCTGGGAGATTTGAATCGTGCGGCCGGTCAACGTAGCGAAGACGAGACGGTACACGAAGTTCTTGTGGGAAGTGAACCGAAGAGGGGGTTGAGACGTTGACGCCATTGTAGCTGTACTGGAGACTCTGCGAAATCTCCGTGGTCAATCAACAATCTGTAGATCAAAATCTTCGTCGGCGCCAGATGCTCGCCTGGACCGCAAAAAGCGAATCGAGAAAATCTGCCGGGGCGGAGTTGTTCCGGCGCCGAGCGCGGCGTTAATCCGCGGTTATCTCCGGGACGGATAGGGACCCTTCACCGGATAGATGCGATGGGTTGGTTGGGTCGATTTGATCTGCATTTATAATCAGTTGCTTTCTTCGATACTTTGGTAATTGTCCATATTTATCTTCACTCTATCAATCCACAATACTACACACAGAGACAAATCACATCGTCATCATGCTTCCACCAGCACTGAACATCCCCAAATGGTACAGTAATCCACCTCCACATCGCCACTACAAACTACCACATCCTACTACCCCTCCCCCGCATTACTCTCCTCTACAAACAAACACACGCAACACAAACCACCTACTCCCAAAACAACACATGAAAACAACTCACTAACTAAACTATAACAGGCTCGAAACCAACTCCCACCTCCTCCAACCCCCCGTAAACAACTACTGCGTCTACCACCCCTCCTCACCCGCCACACAAGGCTACACAGTAATGATAGTCGGCGGTCCCAACGCCCGAACAGACTACCACATCAACACGACGCCCGAATTCTTCTACCAATATAAAGGCTCCATGCTCCTCCGCACCGTCGACGAATCCGCCACCCCGCCCACCTTCCAAGACATCCCGATCCACGAGGGATCGCTGTTCCTGCTGCCGGCGAATACGCCTCACTGTCCCGTACGGTTCAAGGATACGGTGGGCGTGGTGATGGAGCAGCCGCGGAAGGAAGGGGCGGTGGATGCCATGAGGTGGTATTGTCGTAATAAGGATTGCGGGGAGGTGGTGTGGGAGAAGAAGTTTGTTTGTACGGATTTGGGGACGCAGGTTAAGCAGGTTGTGGAGGAGTTTGCGGGCGATGAGGAGAAGAGGACGTGTAAGGCTTGTGGGGTTGTCGCGAGGTCGAAGTATGAGGAGGGGGAGGTGGTGCAGCCTTAGTTGTAGGACTTCTTAGGAGGGGTTGTTTGTTGGGTAGTGTTTAGTTAAGAGTTGACTGGGTGGTGTTGTGGTGAAGAGATACCCTGTTGAAGCTATATATGGTTGGTTGGTTGGATGTAATAGTAGTTGTGTAAAAGAATCTATTGTCTGCTTTCTAATTATCAGTAGTATGATGCTAGGTGTTTGCCAAGGCAGTTGTATACGTGGAAAGTGGCTTGTGATTGGAATGTATAATTAAAGAGGTATCAGGCACAGTTCTGGATAGGGGAATATAAAAGATGGAGAAATAGCCACATAGCCAAGAAGCCGCTGTGACCAAAACAGGCAAGTAAAACAGTCTAAAGAATGTGACAGAAATAAGAAAAAGGCTAGTAGAGTAGTGGCACAGGAATGTAATGCAGCCGCTTTGAACAATCAGTAACCCTTGCAAAGCGCGCTATGCGGTTTCATACAGCCAAGGTAGAAAAGAAAGACCAGAAAATGCCAACATGATTATGTTGTTTGTGAATGAACAAGTAGAAGGATATCCTGAAAATGTGTTTAGACATAGTGCGCCTTGAACAGAAGAATACCAGAAATGACAGGTCCACTAATCCGACATATAGGACACACATCTCAATCATCGGTGCACGTAGCATCATGACCATCTGGTAATTAAGCTGCCATCAATCTCGTGCATCGGCATTCCGCTTCCATCAATCATCAAATGGACAGTCAATGCTCTCGTGGCCATCTCTCTCGCAAAGAGCACACCACTTAGACTCGTCAACGACGCCACTTTCCTTGCCGCCAACAGGGCCCAAGGTTGAGGAAGAAGCCGACAAGTTCGCTTCTCTTAGTCCCTCCATCACAACATCACGACCCGTTTTCTGAGGAGTCGCGTCCTCTTCATGTGAGGATGTGGATGGTTCACCCGTGGATTCCTCTGGAGTTGGCTTTTCATCCACAGAGCTGTCGTCATGGGGTGCCTCAGCAGCATCAGGGACCTTCTTACTTTCTGCGCCGAACATGTTGGTGCAGGTCAGAATATCGTGCCCTCCTGTCTCACAGATCTCGCACCACAAGGAGCCACCGTCCTCCGAGCGGCCGTCTGACTCGTGCATGGTCTCCAGACGATGATGAGAAGCATCCGAAATACCGCGGTGGCGGGTAGAGTAGGCCTGATATTGTCCCTCGTGCGGAGGTAAATCTTGCCAGTCGTGGGGAACGACTGTGCGATCCGAAAGCCGATGCGCATGGTTGATTCCATGGCCGTTCGTAAGCTTCCCATTGACACTGGGGGACTTTTGGTGGTTGGGCGACGAAGAGACCGCGGAGCCGGGAGCGTGTGTTTCACCATTCAGCTGCAACTGCTGGAGCTCGCGTTCTAGTTCTTCAATGCGGTATGTCTTTCTTTCGGCGATGCGTTCAAATTCTTCGACACGTTGTTCCAAGTGAGCCACATGGTCGGGATCATGGTTCGGCGGGCTCGTTCCAAATCCATTCTGTTGCAGGGCATGCAAATCTGGGTCGCCACGGCTCAAGGAGTGGATGATTGCTTTTAGACCACGGATTTCATCATCCTTCTGCTCCAGTTCCTTCGAGTACTGCGGCCCATCACTAGCTGGATGGGAGTCTTTGGAATCCCGCTCCTTCTGTAGTTCGAGCTTTGTCCGCTCGACTTCCCCGCGCAAGAACTCAACTTCTGCCCTGGCTTCGGCCTCACCGCGGCGGGCGTCCTCCAGACCCTCTTCGAGCTCCGACACCAATTCTTCCAATTGCTTGAGCTGTCGCGCAACAGCCTCGACATCCTCCCCGCGGTCCTGGAGCTCTCTATTTTGTTGCATTAATTCGTCCAGCCGCTGCTCATAAACTCGCTCCGTCTCGGAAGCAGCGATCTCTAAAGTATCCAAGGTGCTTCGGAAGTCGGCGCGGTGCAAGTCAAACTCGGCCGTCAGCTGAGCAATCCTCTCGTTCCTTTCACGCAACTGGGCCCGGATGGACAGCGAATCTGACCCCTCCAGTTCCTCCAGAGTTCTCTGAAAGTCGGACAGGGTATGAGCTTGCTCATCTAGCTGCTTATCTCGGTCGAGAAGTTGGTTCTCTAGACTCTTGATGTGATCCTTCAGCTCTTGCACCTCTGCTGCCATCGCTGATTGCTGAACTTCAGATACTCTAGATGCCGGGCCATCATCCTCTGTGCTCACCCGGCTGACTCGCGAGGGAGGGCGGTCAGAGGCGCGCGACGGGGCTTTGATAGGACTGCGGGGGTAGGTGCTGGAGGGAGCCGCGCGGGAGGCTGAAGAGGGCGTGCGTAGCCCGGTCAAGGTGAGCTTGGACGGCGGAGGTCCTCTAGGAGATTCAGGGCGGGGGAGAGAAGGGCGTCGGACGCGTGGTGGGCGCATTGCGGGACCAGGGCCAACGGACTTGCTGAAATTGACCGGTCGGGAGGGGGTTGGAGGGCCGGTGCTCACTGTCGAGGTCGGACCAGACGAGCGCTTGGTGACGTATTTGTTGTTGTTCATAGGCACAAAGATCCCTGAGCCGGGGACAGACGTAGAGAAGTATCGCCTGCCCTCGACGTCTCCATTGTTTTTTCCTCGTCTGGCATGCTCCGGCGCCAGCTCGATGCCTGCAAACTTTCCCGGCTTGCCCGCAACACTTCCCAGATATTTGACCGTCCCGAACATACCCCCGGGGACATTGACCAGGTCACCCACCTGGACGTCGTCGAGGGGCGCCATGGCGAAGGGGGATGGGAGACGACTGGTGGTGCGCTAAATAGAGGGGGTGGTGGAAATGAAGTCGACTTATACCGCACGAAGGAGGGGGAGAGCTTTCAGAGAACTTGCGACGGCGGGATTTAAGGAATGCGTTTAGAAAGGGGTGGCTGCAGAAGTAGTAGGGAGGTTGGAGAGGTGACTGATCATAGGCCAGTCGTCATGGTGTTTGCTGGATGCTGGGGTTCAGCTGCGAGGAGGAGAGGCTCGGAGGGTTTGTTTCCTTATGCCGTCCAGCGTTTGCCTCAGTTGGGCAGCGAAGGACGGAAAAGAGAAAGAGCCAATCCGTCCGGTGGATAGTAAGAGATGGACTAGAGACTGAATTGTTCAGTCAGTCACTGCCTCAGGGAGTGAAATACAGAAGCAAAACAGTTGCTAAGGTTGAACGGCCAATACTGTGTCGTCATGCTAGCAGGGACAGGGGACCCTTTCACACCGTCTAGTTGGTCACAGTTGGCCGTCAAAGACCAATTATTCTTCCATCTTCGCATCGCAGCGGCCTCGGCCACAATAAACACACGAACCATGGGTTGCTTCTTTCGGCGGGTGGCCTGCCCCACCGGCCCGAGTGGGTGTTATGTATTTACGGAATACATGCTCATACCTGCATTAATCATGCGAAACTGTCCATTCTGAGTACTATGTATCAGTATATACTGGTATGTATTACCCACAGAAAAGTACAGTTTACCACCAGCTCCTTGGCGGGCTGACTAACGCATGACTAGTGGATGCCTTTTCATGCCTCAGGTTCTCCATCTCACCACATCATCGACTGGCTCTCATTGCATCCACTCACTCACTAACTCCGCCTCAATTCAGTCCACGGATATCGACTCCGGTCTGAACACGCGGCTTCCAAAGTATTCATTCACCCTCTTCTCTCTTCTCTCTTCTTTCAACCTCCCCAATTCATCCTCATTCCCTTTCTCCGCTGGACCTTACTTTGTACATTCCATCTGCTCAAGGGCCTCGGATTATTTGCTCTTCCCCTCTCCCCTTGCTCCGCCGGCTTCTTCTGCTGCCTGTGCGCCTGCGCCATCGTCGGGGTGGATCCCAGCCGTCAGAACGATAGTGCCGCGTAGTCACCTCCTAGTCGCCACGGGGACCCCGTCCCTACAGGTATCGCGGCTCAATAATCAGCTTCCTGTAGCTGCATTGTGAATAGCTTTCTTTACACCGGCGTGCTCCTCCATCCACCATGGCGCAATACTTCTTCGATCTTCTCTACAACTTCACAGATTGCATGTGCTGTTTCCCCAGCACGCCGCAATTAAAGATCAACAATCGTAGCTTTAAATTGCTCCGACTCCTCGGTGAGGTATGATTGCCTCTGGCTAATGGTTTACTGCACAACACCCGGAACGCGCGATGCTGACAATCAACGCATCATTCTAGGGTGGTTTCTCTTATGTCTACCTCGTCCAAGACAAATCGACCTCGGAACTGTTTGCGCTAAAGAAGATCCGGTGTCCCTTCGGTCAGGAGTCCGTTTCCCAGGCGCTGAAGGAAGTGGAGGCCTACAATCTGTTCACTACCCAGAACAACATCATTCATTCCATCGACCACTGTGTGTCCACCGAATCCGGCTCGAAATTCCGCGCCGATGGCGGCGACGCAGGATCGAAGACGGTCTACATTCTCCTACCATACTACCAACGGGGTAACCTACAAGATGCCATCAATGCGAACCTCGTCAACCATTCCCGCTTCCCGGAGAAGCGCTTGATGGTGCTGATGCTCGGCGTTGCCAATGCGCTTCGAGCGATGCATCTTTACCGTGTGAAAAGCGGTACGGGTCCTACACGCAAGGCTAAAGCTGTGAGGAGAGAGGGTGCAGAGGCAGATGCGGACACTGCTATGCGGATGCCGAAACCGAAGCGACGCACCAGCCAAAATGTGGATGAAGAAGAAGAGAATGAGCCATTGATGGATGACGAGGTCACAATAAGTCAGGAGGGCGTGCAAGACGGCGATCTTCGCCCGTATGCCCACCGGGATATCAAGCCCGGTACGGCTGCTGCTCCTATTGTAGCTACAATGCGCTAATTTTTGCTTGCAGGAAACATCATGATCGCCGATGATGGCCGTACACCCATTCTCATGGATCTCGGATCGTTAGCACCCAGCCCCATTGCTATCACCTCCCGGTCGCTCGCCTTGGCCGTCCAAGACACTGCTGCGGAACACAGCACGATGCCGTATCGGGCACCCGAACTGTTCGACGTCAAGACGGGTTCCATCATCGACACAAAGGTGGATATTTGGTCGTTAGGATGCACGCTCTACGCCTGTCTGGTGGGCAAGAGCCCCTTCGAAGCCCGCAGCGAAGAGACAGGTGGCAGCTTGAGCATGTGTGTATTGGGTGGTGATTGGAGATTCCCCGACGAGAAATCGAGTGCGACCAAGGGCAAGGGCAAGGCCGGTGGCGATGATAGCCGCAAAGATAACACGATGCAGATCAGCGCGCCCGTAAAGGACGTGGTCCGCAAGTGCCTGCAGGTGGAGCCTGCAGACCGGCCTGACATTGATGAGCTGATTCAGATTCTGAAAGACGTTATCAAGGATCTTCCCGAGGAGGATGACATTGCCAGTGGCTCTAGCTAGTGGGCTGCAGTGTCTACCTGTTTTGAGTCCTGTCGTGAGTCAGCTGGTGGGCCTGTTCCTGTCGGCTGAACTACGTGCGGAATTGTCTGGCCCTGGCCAGATTGTATTATACCAGCCAGATCTGCACATATCGCCTCATTTTCTATTCCTACGTGTTCCTGTCTGTGGTTATTTGGGGTTGTCATCTAAGATTCTCTGCTGTGGTTTCCAGATTCGTGAACTTGATACCAGAATAATATTAGCTGCAGGCGGCAGTTTGATTCCAATCCTCCTTGTTTATCGGGGCCCAACCCGGCGTAGAGATGATCAGTTTGGAGGATCCCTGGTATCTTTGATAAGATCTGGGGGCATCCCATGGGTTGACGATGATCTGGGCTTGTTCTGGCCCATTCGTAGAGTGATTCCGGCACACCAAATATCCCGAAATCCGGTCCAAAGGTAGGAGCACCCCCCGTCAGCCTAGTGATCCCCATTGAGAAAGTACGAATCAGATCATTATTCAACAAAGCTGATAAGATAGCTAACTGAGTCCACCCGACGGAGTACAAGGACTATCTACCATGGCTCTGTCCAGTGTGATCCGTGCTGGAGGGGGGCATGTTTGAAGCGGAGTAAGTCCGTGAGCATCACATCTGTCCCCATCGAAGAGAACGATCGGAGCGATGCACCAGTAACATCTGCTATCAACAGTCCTTTCCTGGACTTCCAATAAAGCAGCCTAGGCTATTCCCGATCAGCCTGCGAGATACGATTTGCCGACAGCCCCGCCCCTCGCTTTAGCAACTAAACCGGTTAGCGATGGATGACATCTGGATGGAGTTAAATGGGCCCTGCGCGGGGAAGTTCCATGCCGGACGGGTGGTTATCCAACTTATCCAGCTGCCATCAATGGATTGATCTGCTGGAGGAGATAGCAGAGGTGGATCCCAGGCTTCTTTAGTTATCAGCTGGACTGGACAGAGCGTCATTCAGAGCCAACAATTGAGCGGTTGTCTGTCTGTCTCCTTGCTGCACATCGGAATGTCTTCCGCCTGCTTATCTGCTGGATGATGATAACAGAACCAGCTAGGCTGGTGGACCTTTGACGGATATCTATATGGACTTACTCTTTATCTATCTACTAGCATTGCTAGGGATTTGGTCTTGCAGCGGGGATGACATATTTGCTATTTGCCGACGCTTTGACTTGATTTGCTCTGGTCGTTTTCGGAGTATTTCTGATAAACAGCCTTCGACCACCTCGCCTGCTGCTGTCATTGACGTTACATTCCTTTCATTCCTCCTCCTCTCCCCACTCTCTATCCTCCTCTCCTCTCTTTATGAACGAGTTGCGCGGTTAATCCAGTATCTACAAAATGACACCAGGCCTTGATCGGACTGCTATTCCGGGCACCGTGACGCTGGTGGATTTGGAACATGTCCTTGCCACCCGTCATGCGGATCGCGGCGATAGTGACATCGTTCTCATTCCGGAACCGTCCAATGACCCCGATGATCCCTTGAACTGGGCCCCATGGAGGAAGACCTTGTCTACCATCTGTGTGAGCGTGTATGTCTGCAGGATGAGTCTGTTAGGTTGATCTAGTGGATGCGGGGACTAACATGGGACCTGCAGGTACACATTGTTTGCTGGTATTGCATGTTCGGTCGTCTACTCAGTGCTCACGCAGCTTTCCGATGCAACCGGTGTGTCGGTTGATACTCTCAATGAGGGAACCGGGTATATGTTTCTGTTCGCCGGATGGGGGCTTTTGTTTTGGCAGCCACTGGCGCTGCAGTATGGCAAGCGTTTGACATATATACTTTCTTTGGTTGGCATTTTGGTATGTACCCTGGAAACTCACCACTACCAGAACTAATGTATTCTACAGGGAACTTCAATGTGGGGGTACGTTCTCACATCCGGCGATTGGCGTATGTGTAAGTACTGACTCTGGCAGTCCCTACATCCACACCAACGGTCAATGGATTGCGCGCAGTATCCTTTCGGGTTTCTTCACGGCTCCTATTGAGGCCCTTCCGGAAATAACCGTGACCGATGTCGTGAGTCCATCGGGTTCCATACCATCAGACGAAGCTGACAGTTCAGTACTTCACCCATGAGCGGGGAACATACATGGCGCTATATGCATTCTTCCTGGCAGGCAGCAATTACTTTGCCCCAGTCATCTGCGGCTTCATCGCCCAGTACCAAGGCTGGGAATGGGTTTTCTACTGGCCCAGCATTTTCTGCGCCTTCAGCATTGTATTTTTATTCTTCTTCATGGAGGAGACGAACTACGTGCGCGAGAAGCCATCAGTCGCCGAGGTTACTTCGACAGAAGCTTCTTCGCGCACGTCCGAGCAGGGTGAGAAGGAGAAACGCTCTGCTGATGTGGCACAGCAGAGTGACACAGAATGCGGGGTGATATATCCGAAGAAGACGTATCTTCAGAAACTCTCGCTTATAGGGCCCAGACTGCCGAGGAACAATATGTTCCGCCGGTTCTACCACACATTGTACTATCTGAGTTGGCCGGTGGTATTCTACGCGGGGTATGTTTGCCGCAACAGTGACTTTATATAGCTAACCATGGCAGGTTCTCCTATGGCTCATACCTTATCTGGTTCAATGTGCTGAACGGAACGGCTTCTATCATTTTGGGCGGCGCACCCTATAACTTCAGGTCGGTTGCTTCATTCTAAATCATGAATTATGCTAACCTGCATAGCTCTGCCATGGTCGGACTCAGCTATCTATCCTGCATTGTGGGTACAATACTAGCGTGAGTCTTCCGGGATATTCTCAAGTATATAATAAACCAACTAACATCAACAGCTCCCTCTTCACCGGCCGCTTTAGCGACTGGCTCACCGTCCGACTGGCGCGACGCAACAACGGGGTCATGGAAGCCGAGCAGCGCCTGTGGCCATTTGCCATCTGTCTTCTCCTCGTGCCAGGATCTCTCTTGCTCTGGGGCGTAGGTGCCGCTCACGAAGTGCACTGGTTCGGACTCATCGTCGCGATGTGTCTGCTGGCGTTGGCGAACACGTGCGGCATCACGCTGAGCGTGAACTACCTGGTCGACAGCTACCGGGAGCTGAGCGGGGACGCAATGGCGAGCGTGATTTTGGTTCGGAACACCATGTCGTTTGCCATGGGCTATGGGTATTCCCCCTATCCTTCCACGTTGGTGTCTTCACAAGCTAACTGGAACAGAATCACACCGTGGGTAAACCACCTCGGATATCAAAACTGCTTTATATCCGCTGCGTTCGTAGGCATGACATGCGCAGCAGTGTTCCTGGTGATGATCAAATGGGGGAAATCATTCCGAATGCACAGTCGCGAGAAGTATTGGCGAATTGTGGAGGAGAATTGGGCGAGAGGGATGGGGCATTAGCTCAACAATGAAGTTCATCATAACGCCATACTATATAGTATATACACTCATGACGAATATATAATCCAACCAAACCATGTCCCGACAACAAAACCAATCAACCTGGATAATAAATGATAATAAATTCACCCCCTCCCCATCTTCCACCTCATCGCATACTCCCCCTCATACCTCGCCCTCACCATCGCCTCAAACCACTCCCTCTCCATCCTCTCCAACATCTCCTCCGCCGTTTCCTCTTCCTCTTCCTCCTCATGATCCACCACAGCTTCTTCCTCCCTAATCTCCCCCTCCTCAACCTCCTCCCTCATGATCTCCCTCATCTCCCTTTTCCCCCTCCCCCTCCCCCTCCCCCTCCTCCCCCTGGGATAATCCCCCTCACACCCCCTAAGCCCAATAAACCTCCCAAACCTCCTCCTCTTGACCTCCAACCCCACCTCTGCATCACCCACATACCCCCCTTTACCACCATCAGAATCATCCCATCTAAGCCACGGCACAATCCTAACCGGATACCAGAACGAGCCACGCACCGGCGGATGCACCTGATGGAAATGCACAGCGAGTCTGTCGAGTTGATCCGACGTGAGGAGGTTGTATTGCAGTAAGGAGAGAGGGAAGTCGGGGTGTTCGTGTCCCGTCGTGCTGGAGACGAGTGGGTGGAGGGGTGTGCGGAGGTGGTGGAGGATGGGGGGGAGGTGGGGGTGGAGTTTACTCTTTCTTCGATTTTGATGATCTTTGGGGGGTTGGGGGTGTGGGTGTGGGTGAGGTGAGTGTGTAGGGGGTTTTGCGGTGGAAGTGGAGGTGGGTGCTGGTTTTGGGAGGATGTGTCGATATCGGGGGGTTGATCTTGGGGGTAGGGATGGTGGTGAGGATGGTGATGGTGATGGTTGTGGTGGTGGAGGGGATGATGGTGCAGGTGGGATAGTAGGTGATACCGGGGTTGTAGTTGGTGATGCGTGGTAGTAGTCCTCCGGAGATGGAGGGTCGACGGATAAATAGTGTCTGTGGTGTTGTCGTCGCATTCGTCGTCGTTTAGGTGCTGGTGCTGGTGCCGATGCTGCTGCTGGGGATACTGCTGGTGATGGATCAGGAGATGGTGATATGGTTTCTGAGATGCGACGCTTGCTCATTGTCAACAGACTCTCCGAGTTGGTAGTATATTGCCTGTCTGATTCCTCGAGATAGTTATTGGTACTTCGAGGAACAAGATGTAATTATATACCTTGACTGCTTTGTTGATTGCATCTACAATGTACTCTGAAAGTAACTATAAAAACTTGAAACGGGCGTTGCCGGTCCCTTGTCTCTGCACAATAGCCTCACCCGGTCTTTGTGGGCGCATTGTTGCATAAAGAGATGGTATCTCCCGCCTTGTCTTGCTCCATTGTCTGTATCCGCGTGGTAGCTACGTATGGTGTAGTTCGAAACAAGAGCTACACCTGTTATAGCATTATAAAGGCATTGGACAATGCCGACAAAGCATCGCTAGATGAGCATATGACCTCGTATTTGACTCCGATGAACATCCTACTAAACACTAATCTATACAGAACCAGTGTTCAGCTAGCGGCCCCATCCAACGTCACTTGCTGGAGTCGCCGCTCCATCGATGTCTGCTTCGTCGTGCTAAACTCTGCAAATTCCCGTGACGCCGGCGGCAGTCCCACATACTTGTTGATCCAGTTGAGCACGGTGTGGTGCCACATGAGCGAGTTCTCCGGGTTGAGCACCCAGTGGTTCTCGTCCGGGAAAGTCAAAAACGCACTTTCGACTCCCCGCATCTGCAACACGTTGAAGGCAGCAAGGCCCTCTGCGATCGTCAAACGGTAGTCCAGCTCGTTGTGGATCACCAGATGCGGCGTCTGCCAGTTTGCGGTGTGCCGAGACGGGTCCCAACGCTCCCAATTCTCAGGGACCTTCCACAAGGGCCCCTTGAGATCCCGCACAGGGAAGTAGAGCTCCTCGGTGGAAAGCATCGACGTCATGCTGAAAATTCCATCGTGGGTCACCAGAGCCTTGAATCGTCGGCCCAGTGGGTGTCCCTGGATCCAGTTGACCATGTAGCCACCAAATGACGCACCGAGCGCCACAGCACGGGATGTGTCGACGTACTCCAAGTTATTCTCAATATAATCGAACCCCTTCTCGAGATCTATATATGGCAGGCTGCCGTAGTTGCCACGGATCTCATCCGTAAACTTTTGTCCGTAACTGGTGCTGCCTCGGGGATTGGGCGTAACTACCACGTAGCCCTGCTCAGCAAACACCGCCGGATTCCAGCGCGTGCTCCACTGATCGCACCAGGCACCCTGAGGCCCGCCGTGGATCAAGTAGGCTAACGGGTACTTCTTGCCCGGCTTGAAGTTAGAGGGCTTCACAACCCAGGCGTGGACGGGAGTGTCGTTCGCTCCTCGGTACCAGATCTCATCCACCTGCGAGGGCGAGAGTCCGAACACAGCACCGTTGCGACCGATGGAGGAGATAACGCGCACGTCGCTGGGAGACTCGGGATCGACAATGGACCAGACGCTATTATCCACCAAGCTAGTGCTAGAAATGAGCAGCTTTGTCGACTTCTTAGATGCGGGATAGACGTCCGTGACGTAGCCCGCGTTAGTGATCTTCTTCAGCTTGTCCGGAGTTGCATGGCGAATATCAGCCATAGGAAGCTGGTACAACACGCCACGGCCATACTCCTCGACCTGAATAAACAGAGACTGGTCGTCATTCGAGAACGTCAGGCCAGACGGGCTGGAATCCCACAACCCCTCTCCGTCTGCGGAGGCAAACACCTCGATCATTTCGCCGTTCCAGGGGTTCGGCACATATAAGATACGTCTCTTATCCGACTCGTAACCATCTTCGCGCATGGCGAGAAGGACAATCGAGCTGCCATCCGAAGTGAGGATCGGTGAAGACATGGCCCCCTCGAGTCCCTTTACCGCGCAGACCTTGGCCTCCAATGCGTTCACACCGGTCCATGAAAACATAGGGCAGTAGTAGCAGGAGCAGGAGGTGTGCGTGGCAGGGTTAAGGTCCGGATCTTTCGCAACGAAGACAATTGCTGAGGGGCTGATGTCAAAGTCTCCGGTGCCCCCGAATGGCGGGATAGGGGCCTCGACACCCGCAAGACCGCTCACCGAAATCAAGTTCGTCAGTCCTGACACGGAGTACTTGCCCGCTTGCCTGGTAGCTGGCGACAGAGGGGCGCGCTGCAGCAAGCCATACCAGATGGCATTCTTCTGCGGCTCGATGTACGAGTCCCAATGTCTCACGTAGAGCGACGTAAAGAGCTTCCCGGTGCTGATTGGCTTCTTTGCGTCATGCGGATTATAAAGCGTCCCATCAGGGTTCGCCTTACCAGTCACAGCAAAGCCGATCTTGCCCGGCTCGACGACCGTGACCTTGAGATCGGAAACTGGGCCAGGGACCGTTCCCGCCGTGTACGTCTTGTCTGCCTCACGTGCATCTCCCACAATAAAGCTGGTGTTGCCGTTGGCCTTGGCCTTGAGCCAAACCAGCTGGTTGCTGTCACCCAGCCACTGCGGGCAGCTGGCGCCGGCGTCGTTGGTGATCAGAGCCGACCGGCCAGTGGCGATATCCAGAACACGGATCTCGTTCGTTTTGGAGTGAGATTCGAACGAGTAGGTTGTCTGAGTGTAGACGGCAAGGGTGCCTGAGGCATTCGGAACTGGTCCGGAGCGCCTAGGGGCTCCGAGCAGAACCCTGACAGGTCAGCTTTGTTGCTTTGAATATGAGAACTGATAGATCGGGATTGGACGACGAAGTGAGCTCTGTTGCTGGTATTGGTGATGGCTTACTCTGGAGTGAACTTCATGGATCGGATGGTCATGTCACCTGCACCGAAGAAGGGTCAGTAGCTGATCGACAAGCAGTGATAAGATAGGGGGTGCATTACTGTTCCTGAACAACAAAAAATTGATACGAATAGCCAGTGAGGAATGGACAAGCGCAGTTCCTCCTCGTGGCTGATGGATGTCAGACGAGTAGGTGTAAGAAAGATGGGGGAGAGCTGCAGGCAGATGAATGAGGAATGGGGACCGTGAGGGGAAGCAGCAGAAGGAATGAGGTGGTCGGTGAGGGGAGTTCCCTTATCGGCTGACCCATCATCTGCCACCTTCTGCCATCGTCTTTCCCCGGCTTTCCCAACGGACCTCCGGCTAGTCCCTGCTTCCACGGAGTTACTGCAACCTAGATGGCAAAGTTCGGCAGATCCCAATTCTAGCAGATATAACCGCGATTTACATTGATTCGAGTTGATACGGGATTCCGAGAAATGCGGGGAATCAAGTGCCTACTTGCTACTGTGGTTCATCCCGGTGGGGACCTCAGGCACTCCATAATGATCACCGGTTCGCCCGCTCGGTTGTGAGAATCATGCCAAACAGTGGCCAGATTTCCTATAAACCGGCATAAACTTTGAAACAAAATCTAATGTTATCCAGAGAAAGTCTTATATCCTAGGTGGGAAAATATTAATGACCTAGCACTGTCAGCCAGAGACCCGCAGATCGTGAAATAAGGGTCCAAGTCTCCGAGCCCTACAGAAAGGATGTTTGACATCGTACCGAGGATTCACCGTTGCAGATAGCGGCTTCTACCCAATGCCACGGAAGGGATAGTTTAGCATTTAAGATGTGAATTTATGACTTCATAGCGCAAATGCAAAACATCGGTTCACTTGGTTCTCCTGTCCGGTGGAGCTATCATGCAAAGATTTGATGCTCAGCCAAGAACCGATCGGCTACTGTGGGCAGACCGAAGAGAAATGCCGAGTGGTCTGGCCGAGAACTTGATTCAACCACGTGTATAAAGCAAGCAAGATGTCCACTCGATAGCCACACTAGAATGTTTTCCGCTGCACGTCTACTTACTTTAATACTCTTCAATATAAGTGCTGTTTCAAAATGCCCTTGAAGATTGTCGTGGTTGGTGCTGGCCTGGCTGGTCTGGGCGCAGCCATTGCGTTGAACCGCCAAGGTCATGATATTGAGGTGTGTCAATAGGGCTACACTATCGCTCAACCCTGAGTGGAGCTAACTTCATCAGATCCTCGAGCAGTCCGGCTTCCTGAATGAAGTAGGAGCTGCAATCCACATGGCGCCTAATGCCACGCGCATTCTCAAAGAATGGGGATGCAACTTGGAGGACCTGCAGCCGGTCCACTGCAACCAAATGCGGTTGTGGGATCACCGAGGAAACCTTACTCATACCCCAGTTGTAGGTGCTATTCTTAAAGGTTGAGATGGTCGACCATGGCTAATAATCATGCAGGTGACCAAGGATGCCCAGGAAGCACTGGGCATCTACGATGAGTGGTTACTCACACACCGAGTAGATTTGCACAATACCCTTAGGGGCTTAGCTGCCAAGGAGGTCAATGGCAAGAAACCTACTATTCACTTGCGTTCTCGTGTAGCTTCGGTGGTCAGTATATATTCTACTTCATCCAGTGTTTCCAGGCTACTCACCTAGATGATTGATAGGATCCCGAGGCTGGAGTGGTAACCCTCGAGGACGGTAGCAAGTACACTGGTGACCTAATCATTGGAGCGGATGGCATGCATGTACGAACTATCTCCTTTGTGGAACCTATGTCTAGTATACTAATGTGTTCTACTAGTCTCGGTGTGTTAGCAGTGTCATTGGTGGACCTACGAAGAAGGAAAGCACAGGGCAGAACTGCTTTCGCTTCCTTATCCCTGTTTCCAAGATGAAAAGCAACCCTCTCACTGCCTCTCTTCTGGAAAAGATGGGATCGGGCGCTGTGGACGTTTTCACCGCAGAGGATCGCCGAATAGTCGTCTATCCCTGTCGTCACGGCGATTTGCTCAATGTCGCTGCCATCCATCCTTCAGGAGCCGACTCTAGCGCTAGAGAGTCTTCATGGCTAGACAGCGGCAATCTGGATTCGTTGCTTGAAACATGCAGTGTGTTCAGCCCTGAGCTTCAAGAAATGTGCAAGTTGGCAGAAGATCTGAAGCTCTGGAGCTTGGCATCTCGTTCTCCACCGCGCACCTTCATCCGTGGCAAGCTAGCACTCATCGGAGATGCGGCCCACCCAACACTGCCTCGTGAGTTTCTGGTGACTCCGGGCTTATGCTGCGCCCAGTGCTAACTACATCATGACTTAGACCAGGGACAAGGCGGTGCACAGAGCCTCGAAGATGGAGCAGCTCTGGGCGCCCTTTTCACACCCGAATGTACCAAAGATGATATCCCGGGCAGACTGGAACTTTACAACAAGGTACGCTATGGGCGATCTGTAACGGTGATGCTCATGTCCAAGGTAAGCGACGATCGCCGCGGCCAGATGTTAGACGAGTTGAGGACGTATGTGCCCGATGCTGAGATGCCTCCGGATATGTTTTCCTACACCTGGAGGTCGTACCCCAGTCGGGAAGCTCAACAGCTTCTCCGGGCAGCTCAAGTGAGCGCCTAATGCAGCGTGACTCTCTTTTAAAGTACTGCAACAGACCCGAGTGCTGTCACTCTGTCCTGATCCTGCCCAATAGGCCTATGTACTAAATAGAATTGTCGAATGATTGCTTAATACTACAGCCTATGTATAGATATCTAGGAACCGCACAGAAATGCTGTATCGGGTTCGCGTAGGAAATCGAAGGGGAAGAAAGAGAGGTTAGATGTGGAGTCTTTGTGGATTGAACGGAGGAAGAGGGTTAGTGGGTGGAGTCCTGTTCGGGATTAGCGGCGATGGCCCGAAGAGCAGGCCGAATCCCATGCCTCCCCAGTCCCTTTCCATCCTGGTAACAGCAACTACAATGCTACCTGAGTGCCTATCATTCAGCCCTTCAGGTGATGCTGCGCAATTTATACTTACAGTAGAATCTGGTGCAATGCAATCCACCCAGTGGCGCTGCGAAGCTTGCAATGCTTCATTCCAGCGGCCCGAGCACTATCAGCGCCACATCCGCACTCATACCAAGGAAAAGCCCTTTGCTTGTGTCGAGTGCGGTCAACAGTTCAGTCGAGTGTATGCCCTCGTTTACTTGTGAATTGAGTAGTACTCTCAAGCTGATATGCAGTCTGTAGAGACTCACTCGCTCGTCATCACGGCACAAGACATGAACACATCGCCCCCAATGGCAGCGCGCATACCAGTGAGCGACGCCGGGTAGCGCAGGCATGCAAGCAATGTAACTTGTCCAAAGTTCGCTGTGACGGACAGAAACCGTGTCAGAGGTGTCAGAAAAATGGGGCCGACTGTGTTTACCAGTCATCCCAGAAGCGCAAGCTCGCGAATGCTGCTGCTACAATGCACCCTTCAATCTCAAAACGGCACCGTGGTACAGCTACACCTCAAGACTGGGAATCTTCTCTCACACCGGATCAGGAATATGACGAAGGAGCATCAACCCAGCTCCCAGAGGACATTATTTCATCACCATCACCTACCATGCATTCAATGACTCAACTGCAGCCTACAACGTCAAGAGTCAATGCCAGGAGCATGGGAAACGTGGAGGCATTTGGAAGTGGCAGTCACCTTACGAGCCACGTTCCAGCAGCTACGCACGAGAGTACATCGGCCTTGCTCGCCACCGATGGGATGGGGTTTGAGAGCTTCCTGGGCCTTGACATCGATGCTAATGTGCTATCTGGTATCCTAGAGCAGACCCCTGCATTGAACGATGGTCCGAATGATTTGTGGCTGGCCTCAGCAGAGACGGAGTCGTCATCTTCCCCTTTAAATACAGTCTCGAGGATAGCTCGGCCATTCCTACCGTTGACACCAAGTGCAGTTGCCGAAATCTACGGTCATGATCACTCTCTGGAAATTGACGAAGCCATGGAACCAAGACGGTATTCCCCAATTGCTATCAATATCGATGCGCAGCTGTCCTTCCCAGACATGGAGGGCCTGCCTATAGAACGAGTGGACGAAGAGAACTTTGCCCACGTGAACGACGTGCCTGCTGCAGCGGTGGAAGAAGTACATCGTGTGGCGCGGATCATGCAAGGAAACCCGACCTTTCCACCGTTCACTGAGCTGAAAATTCCACCCTTGTCGGTAATCAATTCTTGGGTGCAGCTGTACTTTGAGCACTTCCATCCCGTTTTCCCTATATTGCACAAGCCGTCTTTCTGTACACCGGGCACGCATTGGCTCCTTATCTTTGTCGTGAGTGCTATCGGCGCTCAATTCTCCGGGCTCCCACATGCGCAGACCTGTTCGAGAGCTATGCACGAGCTGGTGAGACGTCAGTCCATGCATCTGGTAAGTGAGGTCCCGCAGCTTATATGCTCAATGCTTTACGGTTGACAATACACTTATTCGCTAGTGTGAGAATCTGAATGTGCATGCCCGGGAGCTGTGGCTTATGCGGGTCTTCCTTCTCAACCAACTGGGGCTGCGATACTCTGGCGAACGGAGGGCCCTAGAAGTCGCTGAAGTGTACCAAGCGCTTCCAGTTACCGTGGCTCGGCGAAGCCAGATCTTTAGAAGCATTGTATCCCTCCAGAAAATCCATCAGCTAGAGCTTCCAAATGCCCAAAAATGGCAAATCTGGACTCTGGATGAGGAGAGGCGACGCACCGGTTACGCTATCTGGGTTAGTGGTTCCCCAAATCGTTTCGTGCTTACCTGGACATATTAGCTATTACAGCATCTGACGTGGCCATGTAGCTAGCGGATACAGCTTTCTCCATGCACTTTGATTTGTCTTCTATAGTACGGGATGATGAGATGCAGAATACCCTGCCCCAGGAAGAGGAGCTCTGGGAAGCGGCGACAGCACATGGCTGGGCTACTTTCCCAACACGCACAAGTAGGTTTCGATATGCTATTTCCAATGGCCACTTCTAACATATCAGGCCGAAATAAAACCTTTACATTGGACCATATTGCTTCTGATAGAAACTGGTCGGCTGTCTGGTCTAAAACTGGCACTCTTGGGAAGCAAGCTATTATCCAGCTCCTACTCAATGCCGTCAGTGGTCACCAAAAGTTTCCAGGATCCTCATCATCAGGTTCAAGTGAAGTGGATAAAGGTTTGAGACAACTACTGGAGATCACAGAGAATGAGGAAGAATGTTCCTCCCATGAGCTCAAAGTCTGCGCGACTCACAGGCTCATGATTCTCTATGCCCTCATGATCAACAATAGTCCGAAACTGCCATTACTACCTACAGCTTTGAAGATCAAGGGCCGGCAGCTGAGTGAGTTTGACTTGGGCAAAATAGCTGATGAATGGGGCGCTGTGTCACATAAAGGAAGATCAGCCATCTTTTACGCCGCACGGGTACTCGAAACCGTGCGATCCCATCACTGTGCACATTTTTCCACCCCCGTCTTCTTCTTCAGAGCCGTTCTAGTGATATGGCTGTACTCTTCACTCTGCAACCCCCAATGCTACCCTTCTCCCGCGACTGAGGCGCCGTCTATTACCCTCCGTGCCCCGGACTGGGGTGGCATGAACGCTGTTGAATGGATCAACACTGGCTGGGGCCGCATCAAACTGCCCGGAATTGGTGACTTCATGTCTGATCGAGGCCGCTCCAGGTTCTTAGACGAATCAATCTTGAGCCTCAGAGCGCTGAAGTACTGGGGTATCAGTAAGATCTATGAACAAGTTCTGACACGACTACGAGCGCCTTAAGCAACCCGCTGGTATGGGTCGTCCTCGGTATCACTCAATACTCACTATATTATCCATTCTGTCTGTCTTCTTTCCAATATAGCCCCCCATCTAAGGCCCCTGGGATTATGTCATGGCCTTTGCCAGAGCAAACGAGACGCGAGCGGCCCAATTCCTACACAACTGAAGTGAAGGACTCATGCTCTTGCGGCTCGGGTCCACAGAACAGCCCTAATCGGTAAATGGGCACGCTCTCTCGGGCTTCGGGCTTCCGACATCCGCTGAATCATCTCTCCAACCATGCCCAGCAGATATTGTTCCTAACCTCAACAGGTAGGGATATGCAAAACATTTCTTCATTAGGCTAAAGAAGAGTCCATGAAGTACCATACGCTAAAATCATCTAAGTCAAATACAAAACAACGCTGACAGCCATGAAGTCAGTCTGTCGAGTCAGCTCGGCTCGGGCCCGCAGCAGCCATCCATCCCACCGCCTGTTTGTTTCCATTTGGCTTCTTCTGCCAACCGGGATCTTCATCATCCGACTACCTTTGAGGTATATGGAGACTGCTATTTCCCAGTGAACTAAGCCGCATATGTACACATGGCCACTGCATAGTGATTGATTTATGTGGATTATGCAGGTAGCCAGGATTTCGGATTTGGTTCCAAGAAAAGGAAATAATATGTTTCTTCCTAATCTTTCAATCTTATGACGGTCTTATCTTGCCAGAAGCGAGCTGTTTGAGCTCCAAGAAGGCAGGATGAGTGAATTCGAGGATTGTGCCTCAAAATGTTGCCCGATAGATTCTAGTTACTGGTATTTTACTCCTATGAGAAATAGTGTACAATAGACTTCACACATACGTAGAAAAAAATGATCATAACTTTGAACAAACGATTCATGTTATTCCACATTACACATATAATTACAGAAATGCGAACCATAACGAAATCATATCCATTTGGAATCATCCACGGCGAAGAGATTTATCCATCAATCCATCTACTCCTCATCTTCCTCGTCCTCATCCTCATCCTCATCCATTCCCTCAGCAGCCGTAACAGTAAACGTAGGAGCCTGATCCACACCAACGTAACTATCACTCATCAAGTACAAAGTCAGCTCGTGTTCACCAGGTGTAGGCACGATGTATTCGAGACGCAGCTCCAACTTGCGACCAATAGTGATACGCTTGATAGCCAGCAGGTTCTTTGTCTTCTCGTCTCCGACCACGAGCCACCAGTTCTCCATCTTCTTGTTGGGGTAGAAGGGTGCGTGCACGGAGGTGTCGGGCTCTTCGTCTTCTTCGATTTCGCGCTCGATCTTGACCTTGAGGTAGCTTGGCTCGCCGGAGGTGACGCTCTCTGGGTCTTCGACTTCGAAGTCCAATTCGAGGTTGGGGTACTTCTCGTTGGTGAAGGCCGCGGCTTGTGCCAGTTGTCTGTTGTCCAGGCCGAGGCGCTTGACCAAGGTCGCGTAGTCCTGGTTCTCGGAGGGGTCCATGGCTTCCATGAACTCGAAAATGTCGTTGATGCTAGAATGGTTGTTAGTGATGGTGGTATGGGAGGGAGGGGATGATGGGACATACTTGTACTCGTTGGCCACCTTGATGGCGTCGGGGCCGAAGTGAGGAATCTGCTTCAGAGGGCTGTCGCGGTCCCACATGGCCTGGACGACCATCTGGGACATCTCCATGGCGTTCATGGCGTTCAGGTGGCCCTCGGAAGAGAGAACATCGACACAAGCACTCAGCAGGTTGAGAACCTTGCTGACAATGACCTCCTGATCCTTGGCAAGATCGATCGGCAACTGCATGCGCGAGAAGTGAGCTTGCAGCAGCACGAAGGCCTTGAAGTGCGGCGAGTCGTAGGCGACCTGCGACATCTTGACAGGCACACGGTCGTAGACGCGACGCAGGATGTGGTCCTCGTGACGGCGCATCTGGATCGACTCGAATTCTGTAGCTGATGTGATAATCTCCAGAATACCCTTGAGCTTCGTGCGAGCCGACAGGGAGAGAAGGAAGGTCTGCATTGTGATGAAGGAGATGTTGTAGTAAGACCCAATCATGGCCGCGTTCAGAGGCGATACGCTGTCATCCTCCTCATCCAGGTCAACGATCTTGGCATCCGACAGTTCCTTCAGCGTGTTCTCCAGCAGTTCCGACAGGAAAGTGCTGAGGCCCTCGTGGCTGACATCGGTCAGACCGTAGAAACTGGGGTTGGCCAAAAGCCGACGGTAGAAGTAGGTGTGAGTCATCCAGTCGATCGCATCTTGAGTTGATCCAATCGTCCTGGTGCTGATCTCTGTGACGAAGGCGTCATGCAAGTAGGCTTGCAGGTGACTCTCAACGGGCAGAGCTTCGTTCAGGAACTTCTTGTAGTATTCCCGCTTGACAGCTGGGACCATGAGCACACCACGACCAATCTTATCCTCGCCAGGACGAGAGGCCTTGCCGAACATCTGGAGAATCTCGCTGATAGGGTAGTCGATATAGCGGTGCTCCCGGCCTTCGAAGAACTGCGTTCCCATGACAACTACGAGATGTGCGGTGAGATCGAGCTCCCAGCAGACATCTCTGGAGGCAAGGAGGACCTGGATTGCACCGATACTGAAGAGATGAGAGACAATGCGCTTGTCGGTCGCGCTGAGCGCTTCGTGGTAGTAACCAATGCCGTGTGAGAGTGACTCTGCGAGAGTTCGTTCATTAATGCGGCCCAGGAGAGGCGCCAGCTCATTGACATCGGCGTTAAGGAACCGGTCTTCATCATCGTCAGTAGCGCAGGCAGCCAGGAGATCCATAGCGGTGGAACGAGTCTGCTTGCGGCTAGGCACGAAGACGATGGCAGGCTTGTCGGGGGATAGCTGAAGGATCGAAAGATACGCTGGCCTGGCCATGGCGAGCATAAGCGAGGGGAAGTGGGGGATGGTGAAAGACTGGATATGAAGCTCAAGAGGCACCGGCCGGGCATGCGGGCTGAAGTTGTAGATTGTGTGCTTGTTGGCACCAATCCACTCACCCAGATCGCGAGCATTGGCAAGCGGCACGCTCAGACCAACAATACGCATGCCACTCTCGGTTTCCAGCGCCATGGAGTGCATACGAGAGACCACCACCTCGTACACATATCCTCCGTAGCCACCGAGCATTTGGATTTCATCAGCGATGAAAAGCTGCACTGCCCGGACGTTCTTACGCTTCCGCCACTGTCTGGACAAGACATCCCATTGAGTAGGGGTAGCAAGGACAAGATCGGCACGCTCTAGAAGCCGGAGGTCGGCAGTCGTCTCGCCAGTAAGCTTCACAATAGTCTTCCCGCCGGCGACGTTGCTCAGTCGCTTCTCCCAATCGGCGAGACGTTGGTCAACCAACTCCTGGAACGGGGCTATGTAAACGGCCCTGCCACTGTCTTCCTGAGCCCAATGACGCAGCAGCGCAAGTTCTGCGCAAACAGTCTTGCCACTGCCGGTAGGAGCACCGATGAAGACATTGTCATCCGTATCGAACAGAGACTTGAAGGTCTGTGTTTGGATCTTGTTGAAGTATTGCCACTCAGAGTACAGTTGCTGGTATTCATCGCGCTTCAGTGCCTTGACAGGAGCACGTTGCATATCCAAGAGAGGAGTATGCGGGGGGAAGCGTTCCGGAAGAATAAGCTTCTGGAAAGAAACAGCGATCTTCGTTTCCGAGTGCATCCAACGGTCCGAAACGAGCGAGATGAAGTAGTTGGGGGGCATAGGTTCGGTGATCGGAACAGTAAATTCGACAAGGTGCTCGTTCATCTCGGACTGCGCAATGTCTCCGCGGAGAAGGAACTGATCATGGAATAGAATTTCCTCTCCATCGCAATCTTCGACCAAGATCCAGAAGTCCTGTGCGTTTCCATGGAGCGCCTCATCCCACACAAAGTTGGGAGTAATGGTCAACTCAACCCGGAGCATAGAACGAGTGACAGGCTGAACCTGCGCTTGAACTTCCAAGCGAGGGAATTTGGAGACGAGGTCACAGACAACACGACCAGCCTTCGGCATACCGAGAAGCTCACCCATGCGAGGAGGATCAAGGTCGAAATAACTAGCCCATGGCACATCGATTCTTTCAGCCTTCTGCAGGATGTCTCTAGGACAGTTGGGAAATTGACGCAGCGGCGTCATCGTCGGCCACATCCGTCGTTCAGCCATCTTACAGAGGTTGAGAGCCGTCTTGGCCACAGATGACCAGCCCTTCTTCAGGGAAATCTCAAACAGGGCGCGGAGAATACGACCAGCCGACTGTGTGACATAAACCATATCTGCCATAAGAGCCAGCCCCTCAAGCTTGAGTCTGGAAATATAGGCCTGCAGTAGAACATTGATCTTCGAGTGAGGCTCGTCGATGCCTTCCTTGACGGGAACAGGCACACGTCCCAACAACTTGGCAAGCTCGAGCTTTTCATCTTGACGGACTGGAATGTACTTGAATTCGTCACTCAAGGCGAAAATACGGAAGAGTTCGATGGGCGTGATGGAGGGCTGGATGTGCTGAGAGTACGTCAACATGGAGTTGTGGCCAATGTAGTAATGAGAGGCGATGCGTCCAAGCTCAGTCGACTGCAGGCGTCCTGTCTTCTTGTCATACTTGACAAGGCCTGCCCGCTCCAAGATGACTGCTGCAGAGTGGACAAGATCGACACGCTTCTGCTCCAGTGCCTCGTCGTCCTCATAATCGGCGCCAACGCTGTACAATCCGGGTGAACGAAGCATACGGACGAACAAATAAGTGTATCCCAGCCAATCGACACCCTCGTCGCGCGTGCGAATATTGCCAAGAACGATCTCAGCATTCATATTATCCGCAAGCTTACTCATAAGCTGACTCTCGATCGGCAGCTGCTGGTTCATAAGCGACAGATAGTACTGAATCTCGGTCTGCGAAGTAATAATAATACCCTCACCGAATGTATCGTACTGAGGTCGTCCAGCTCGTCCCAGCATCTGGAGAACATCCTGAGGGCTAAGCTCAACCCAGCTACCCTTCTCAGGCGAGTAGATCTGAGTACCCTTGATGATGACGGTATGAGCAGGCAGGTTGACACCCCAGGCGAGAGTTGCCGTGCACACAAGGACTTGAATGCTACCATCACTGAACAGAGCCTGAACTGAATCACGATCCGCAAGACTCAGACCAGCATGGTGGATACCGAGGCCGTAGGGCAGAAGATCTTTGAGGGAAGGATCGTCCACGGTCTCGGCTTCTTCGGCCAAGATGGCTCTGCTTGCAGCATCGCTTCGCAGGATCTGACCAATGGTCTCCATTTCAAGAGCCTTGTCCCTGATGTACTTGGCGGTTTTGGCGGTCTCCTTTCGGGAGTGGACGAAAATAAGCATCTGATTCCTTCGTTGTCCAACCTGCTCAAGCACCTTGTTATAGCAAATATCGTTCATTGTCTTCAACTGCTTGATAGCCTTCTTGTCGGTAACACCAATGAACTCCTGCTTCAGCGGGCATGGTCTATAAGACCCGTCGAAATGGAAGAGACCTTTGAGGGGATCGACGCGCAAAAAGCTTGCAACATCACGGTAGTTGGGCAAAGTAGCACTGAGACCAACAATTCGCACAGGGTCACCGGTCTGTTCAACCTTGCGAATTGTTCTGCTGACGATGCTCTCGATGACAGGACCACGGTCGTCGTGAAGAAGGTGGATTTCATCGATAACAATAAGACGAACGAGCCTTGTGTAGCTCGTTTCCGATGCCTTTCTTGTAATGACATCAAACTTCTCGGGGGTGGTCACAATAATCTGCGTTTCAGCAATTTGCTGTTTGGTGAGCTGGCGATCACCACTGAGTTCAGCAACCTTGATGCCATACGGCTCCAGTCGCTTGCCGAGGTTTCCGACTTGCTCCTGAACCAGCGCCTTCAACGGGGAGATGTAGATGATCTTGAAGTCATCCAACATGATCTCACCGGTTTCAGGGTTGCGGTTCTTTCCGATTTCGCGGAGAATTGTGAGCATGGCAACGTTCGTCTTTCCTGATCCTGTGGGAGCACAGACGAGCATGTTTCCATCGTCATGGAACGCAGATGGGAAGCACTTGGACTGGACCCGATTGAGCTCCTTCGCACTACCAAAGCCGATACGAGCCCACTCGGGCAGTTCGGTAGCCGGGATGTTCTTCTCCCCTGGCTCTCTCTTTGCCTGCGGAGGAGGCACATGAATCTCCTCATAGCCCTTGAACGTCCGCTTCGTAGAGCCCTGTGGTAGCTTGACGTTAGGGTTCGTCATCAAGTGGTTGCCCTGGTGGAAGACGAGGTTTTCCAGGTTGATCAGCCTCTTCGGCTGCAAGCCCCTCACCAGTCCTCCCTCTGTAGGCTTCTCTTCGGGTTGTTGAGGTGCACTCGGGACATCGACATCCATCAAATCCAGCTTGATCTTCTTCTCTGGCCGACCTGCACCTTCGGAACGAGTTGATTTACCCCGGATCTCGTCCAGAATCTGGCGATGTCCAGCCTCGACCATCTCACTCTCTACCAGGTGGCGGGCGTCTGCGTCTTCGGCCACTCGACGCCAGCGAGTGACCCAAACGATCTTATCCCGGTTGGTGACCAATTTGGCGACAAGGTCGGGGTTCTCGTAGTCGAACAATTCCATCAGGTCGTTTTCAACATCACGTAGCGGCCGCTCCGCGCCGTCCTCGCCCTGACCACCAAGGATCTCAAGTGCTTGTGTAGCCTTTTCATGCTGTATGTGGGCATCGGAATATGCGGCACCGATTTGACGCTGAAGCCAGTAGGCATCGATCTCCCGGGCAGGTACCGTTGATCCCTTGTCTCGTCGATCTGCATCCCGACCCAGGCCACCATCTATTACCATCTCTTCGGCCTCCTCAAGACCATCGAGATCCGCCTTCTCAGTGGTTGTCTCGTCGATTCCAGTAGCTTCTTGTTGGTCGGCCTCTTCGTCCTCTGACAGTTCGTCGTCATCGCGTATCTCATCCACAGTACCCATGCGCTCGTCGTCCTCATCCTCCTCATCGAAAACGACGGCAACACCTTGGCGCTCATCAAGTTCGCCTTCACCTTCACCTTCCAAACCTTCGCCCATTTCTTCATCTTCGTCCTGCGCGTCGTAGTCTGTAATCTTCTTGCCGAGGTTGACGAGCTCATTGAACTCCTTGGGGTTCATCGAGCTTCCGAGCAGGTCATCGATCTCCTTCTTCTTGTCGAAGTCCTTCATCTCTTCATCCTTCAGCAATTCCAACACTGCATCAGCGGCACTTCGGACCACTTCGTGGGGGACGTCGCCAAGGTGGGTCGCGGTCATGGTGAGAATAAGGTCGTAGGTAGCTCGGGTGGCAGGCGTGCGGGGACGGTACTTGAGGCCCTCAATGAGGGCATCTGCGGCAGAGAGAATCCCCTGGCCTCGTAGTTGTGCCGGTTGACCCCGTTGGGTCTTCCTCTGTTCACGGGCAAGCACATCCTCACCCTCTCGAATCGCACCGCGTTCAATGTCCGTCGGGCCGACAGTCTTCTTCTTCGTCTTAGGCGCATCATCACGCGCCATCCTGCCGCCCATCTCCCGAATACTTATGCGACCAGCGAGCGACTCTGGGTCTCCGGTGGGTTCATCGTTGACGCGAGAGATAAAACGACGGTCCGCCTGGAGAACCAGGTTGGACATCGCCGAGTACTTATATTGAGAAATATTCTGGTCCGCCATTTTGATGGTATATTATAACAAAAAACAATAGAACAAATGGTAAAGCGAACGTGCTGCGACGGTAATGTGTCGACTGGGCTCGGTGGAGCTCAGGTTCAGCCGGCGCGTCGAGACACCTGCGACAAGTAATGAATTTCGTGACGGTATGGGATCCTAAAAGGCTTCACAAACCTGGACCATCCTCCGGCAGCAAACAAGCACAGGGGTCGGCGCAAGGTTGCAAGCTGCTTGGGAGGAATTGGAGGAGTTTGAGTGAGTTGCGTTAGAGAGGTCGCGGGAAGTTCTTGTCAAGCAGATTTGCGTGGCAAGGCGGGAAGGTTTGGCGAGCGGGAGCCTGAGGTATACACCCGCTCGCCGCTTTTCTGCCGCGCTTCTCGGCTTGTAATCACATTGTATAGTTGCTTAGTCCCGTTCTCTCAACGCGCCGCAGACAACGCGCTGCTTCGGGATGATGCGCGCTCATGGACTACAAATGTCCTACCTATGTCAGTCTCAAGCTCGCTTAATTGCTAGACTTGACATATTCCCACCATATCGTTGCCATGTACACAGGACCATCTGCCATCATGCCCAGCGACCGTCCATGCTTCTCCCCAAGGTAACTTGTTACTCGGTGCCGCGGCGAGGTGCCAAAACGAAGACTACTGTAAAGTTGAAAGATCTGCCCCAAGGGACTTTGAAGCTGCAGCCTTATCAGGAAGTGGTGGATGATGCCCCCAAATATCCGGCTGTCGTCCAAGGACATTGGAACAATATGCAGAAGTTCAAAAATTGCGTGATCTTGACTAGAGTAGGCGGCTTCTACGAGGTATGACTACCATCTTTATACTTCTTCTAGATCCGTGGAATACAAATCTTTTAGAGAGTATCCCTGACCTTATCTTAGCTCTATTTCGAGCAAGCTGAAGAGTTCGCCCCGTTGCTCAACCTTAAGCTTGCCTCCAAGAAGACCAGTGCTGGCCCTGTTCCTATGGCTGGTTTTCCCTTCTTCCAGCTAGACCGTTTCCTAAAGATCCTTGTTCAGGACCTGAACAAGTACGTGGCTGTTAGCGAAGAATTTCCGAATGCCGCAGAAGACAAGCTCCGATCCGGAGGTCTTCTCTTCGATCGTAAGGTGGCCAGAATCATCACACCTGGCACATTGATCGATGAGAAGTTCATGGATCCTTCCGAAAATAATTTTTTGTTGGCCGTCTACATTGATAAGTCTTCGCTGAAGGAGCAGTTGAAGCATCAAGATGCCTCATCCTCGCAACAGCACGTCCTATTATCCGCATCCCAAAACGTAGGTTTGTCCTGGTTGGACCTCTCCACAGGCGACTTCTTTACGCAGGTAACTACAGCACAGATGCTACCGTCTGCTATCGCCAGGATTGGCGCCCGAGAGATACTCGTGGACCAAGGTCTCCAGGATGTAGTCGGACAGGAGCTGCAGTTATTGATTGGACACGACCAACGATTAATGACTTTCTTCCAATTTCCGAAAAAGGTTGCGCCCATGGCCCGATGGAAAGCTATGCTTGAAGCCCCTGTGTCAGACGCCGCCGCAGAAACGTTTACGCGTGAAGAAGTTGCCGCCGGGTATAGTCTTTTGGAGTATATCCGGGTTCAATTGCAAGGCTTGAATATGAAGCTTCAGCCTCCTCGTCGCCGACATTTGGACGAGTCAATGGGCATTGACCGGAATAGCTTGAGAGGTCTAGAAATTCTGGAGACTGCCCGTGATGGCTTTGGGAAAGGAAGCCTACTTCATGCAGTGCGGCGGACTTCTACCAAGAGTGGAGCACGTTTGCTGAGAGACCGATTAAGTATGCTTAATAATCTCTCTTAACCATTCTCCAAAGTCTAACATTGTGGCAGCGTCGCCTTCCACTTCTCTATCGATAATCAACGAACGGCTTGACCTGGTTTCGATATTCATCGAAGACCGTGATCTGCATGACAATGTGATTCAGTTCCTCAAACGCAGTTATGATGCCCAACGTCTAGTTCAGAAATTCACACTTGGTCGGGGTGACCCTGATGATTTGATCTGTCTTTCGAGGGCAATTGAAGCCTCAAAAGAAATCCGACAAGTTCTATCAAGGAAGTGGCATGGCGAGATTGATAGTCAAACCAAGCGCAGCATTGGAATTATGGTCGACCGAATTCACATGGATGGGCCTACAGCCTTAGCTGACAAGATCCTGGCAGCAATTGACGAGGAGGGTCTGCTGCAGAAGCAGCGCATTGAAGACGACACAGCTGCAGAGGCAGCACTTCTAGCACAGTCCGTTACTATGAATGAGGGTATACCAGAGGACATGGCTACACTACCGAAGAAAATCAAGACAAAAAATAGTGATCGGTCTAACGCAGCTGCGGATGAGGGGACGATTGCCGATACCTGGATCATGAGACGAGATGCAAGCCAAGCTTTAAGTGAACTCCATCAGGAGTTAGAGCAATTACATACAGCAAAATCAGAGCTAACACAGCATCTTCGCGAGTCGGTGGGTTCATCTGCTCTAACTCTCAAGTGGACTCCGGGTTTAGGTCACATATGCCATGTCAAGGGGGCTAAAATCACCCAAGAATCATTGGAGGAGCTTGGGGTAACACGGAATGTTTCGGCCACCAAGTCGACAAGGTCATTCTACTTACCAGCATGGACAGAGCTAGGCGGTCAGATGGATCAAGTGAGGACTCAAATTCGTCAAGAGGAACAAGTGATCTTTGAGCAGCTGCGTCGGGAGGTCATCCTCAATCTTGTCAAAATCCGACGCAATGCAGCCGTTATGGACGAACTCGACGTCGCATGCTCATTTGCCACATTAGCGCAGGAGCAGCAACTAGTTCGCCCGATTCTCAACGAAGGCACGAGCCACAAGATTGTGGGCGGACGTCATCCCACAGTCAAGCTTGGACTGGAGGAGCAAGGCCGACGGTTTGTCAGCAATGATTGCTTTCTCGGAGGCCCAGAACGTATATGGCTTGTGACCGGTCCCAACATGGCAGGTAAAAGCACGTTCCTGCGACAAAACGCACTCATCACTATACTAGCCCAGGTCGGGTCATTTGTGCCTGCGGCGTACGCAGAGATTGGCTTGGTTGACCAGATCTTCAGTCGCATCGGAGCCGCTGATGATCTGTTCCGAGACCAGTCCACATTCATGGTGGAGATGCTGGAAACAGCAGCTATTCTCAAACAAGCGACCTCGCGCTCGTTTGTCATCATGGACGAGGTCGGGCGTGGGACCACGCCAGAAGACGGAACTGCCGTCAGTTTTGCATGCTTGCATCACCTGCATTATCACAACAAATGCCGGACACTGTTTGCGACTCACTTCCATGTCCTTGCCGACATGACCCACGACTTTGACACCCTCGGCAGATACTGCACCGATGTCAAGGAATCCGCTTCTGGATCTTTCTCATTCGTCCATCGACTACGCAAAGGTGTGAACCGCGAGTCGCATGCATTGAAAGTTGCTCAATTGGCCGGACTACCCAGGGAGGCCATTGAAATGGCAAAGAGCGTGCGTCAGCGATTCTCTAATCACAACAACAGTCCACAATGGGATGAGAACTCGGCACCAAAACATACAGCAAATGGAGCCTGAAACTGCCCATACCATCAGTAATTTCATATCATCAACAATCTATGTACAATAGCCATTTTGATAAGAAGGTACAATGAACCTTAACCCCCCTAAAGCTTCAACCCTTACCATAACCGCTCTCAAAGCTTCGCCAAAGCCTTCTTAGTTCCCTCACCCGATACTTCTACAGCGATGCCCTCCCCAAACCTCACCTCCTGACAATCCTCATCCCCAACCCCATTCATAAACTGCACCACCACAAAATCCACCCTCCTCTTTCCAATAACCACCATAGGCGCATGCCACGTTCCCGCCCCATACGTAACTGCCTGGCCACCCCTAGCCACAAAGGCCCTCAAGCGACTCAAATCCGGCGGATCAACCACGTTTACAGTCTTCCCATCGTCCGTCCTCGCAGTAGCCGTAGTACCCTTCAATGTTGGCGCCACAATAACCAAGTAGAACGGCTCCTCCACCACCTCGCCTCCCGCGCCTGACGTCTTCACCTGACTCGACAGATCAATTGGGGTGAAAGTCTGCGTAGTGTAGGGGTGTCTTTCCAGAATGCGCACGTCAAACACATTCGCATTTTTATGGGCGACAGTGCGGAGTTTGCGCGGAAAGCACGAGAACATAGTCATGCGGGCGGAAGAGGGCTGGCCGCTCGGAGCGGTGGAGTAATTATCAGTCATTGGACCGATCGGGCTGTACTTCAGGGCGGAGGATTGATTGGCGAGGACGGGGACGGGCGAGAGCGTTTTCAGGGTACTCTCTGGTGGAGGAGTGGTGATGTTGCGAGCTAGAGGAGATGATATGGCTGTGCCGAAGTCGGAGAAGGCCTCTGGGGTGAGGGGAGCGGGGGTGAGGTTGAGGAGGGGAGTGGTGGTGAGGGTCGGTGGTGGCATTGTTGTCAGTTGGAAGTGTATATTCTTTTTCGGGTTATTTGCAAGAAGAAATAATGTACAGTTTGAAAGAAGTATTGAAGGTAGGGGACCTGCCCGAATGGTTGAATTGAGTGGTTTGATAGATGGGGAATGAGAGGAGAAGGGCGGGATGAGGTGATGATTTGTTATCTAAGTACCCCAGAAGGGCATCGGGAGTCGCCGTCATAGTGTTGACGCTAAGATCGGCGGTCGGAAGGGCCCGACGTCAGATTGATTGGGTTGGAGAAGAGGAGTAGATCAACGTTGCTCTGCTATTAGAAGAGGTCTTTTCATCATTGATAACATCATTTGTGGGACATGGGAGAGATCCCAATTCTTGTTCTGGGAGATGTATTTTTGGAAGTAGTTCTTCCTCCTTACCGGAAGTTTAGCCCTCTTCCCGGGCCCGTCACTTGCATTCTGGCACATTGAGATGCGGGTCGCAATGCAAGGGATGACGGGCGTTTAAAAGGTTAACAAGTGTCATTTAATGACCGCATTATCTCTTGAATTGTCCCGGTTTCAATGGTTGGTCCCTTCCAAATGTGACCTATCTATAAGGTCAGGTGATCGGGTTCCTCTATCACCTTCCTCTTTCTCTTCCGTCTGTCTCCTTCACCTCTTCGGCTTCGCTTATACACTGTTATTTATGTTCTCATACGGCCATTGAATATTTTCTCAGTGGTTTCACAATTGAGCTCAGAGCAATACAATTCGTGATCATATCAAGTGTGTGATAGATCTCAGAATACACGCGATCCAGCAGCAGTGTTTAGCTCCGAATATATATTCAGAGATAGTACTGCGCACACCACCAGCCATCCAATTGATGCTGGCAGACGAAGAGCTGAAACAGTACTGGAGTTCTTCACCATCGCCTTAACACACAGATATACCGATTTGTCTTCCTGATAGCGAAACCATCAACTGCTTACCTTTGATGCTTAATTCTCGTGAAATAATTTGCTAGGATCCGTCAGTTTCTTTGGACATGCAGGATCGGCTGAGTCAGCCAATGGACTGCCACGTGAGGCTAAGCCTCTGACTAATCGGGGCGATCCATCGGGGCTGGCAAAAAAGCCAAAAAACCGACGAGTAAAACCGACTTCACGGTAGTGGATCGGCAGTGGAATCTCCCGGTCTTAAAGGCTGAAAGCGTTATCGCGCTTCGCTTGGGCTCCACAGAGACTCGTCAGTAGTTCGGATTTTGGATGCCAGTTTGTCTGGGCATCTTCCTCGGCGCAGGCTTGTCCAATGCTTTGTGGAAAACGAGTGGATTCTCCCCCTCGAATTATGCAATCAAAATGAGTATACTCATCAGCTGCCAATTGATAGTCTGGAAAATACTCTACTGAAACTCGGTCCTCACCGGGATTCTGGTCTCCTTATATTTCTTGGATCAATAGTGTGACGCACCAGGTACCGGAAAAAGAATTTCGAGCTAACCTTAGCTGGATTGAGGTCGGACTTAAGGCATGCAAAATTTATTCGGACAAGAAATGGCAGATTGTTGGTTGACGTACGCTGGTGCGGAGGGTGACGACTCCGGCTTAGGCAGTCACTTTTTTGTTGGCGCCAATCCAGTCTCATAAGGTGAACTCTTTGCCCACCAGTTCTGATCCAGTCAAAGGCGTTGAAATGCCTTCCCCAGTTCGCTAGTCTTTGCCTCCTGTTCGCTTTCGGATTTCCGTTCCTTATCTTGTATCGATATCCTGTGATTGTGCCGTCGTGATCTTCCTTCCAATGGCGGGGAATCAGTGGCTACGATGTGTGCTGGTTCTGGCCCTGGTGGTACTTGGGGCCCAAGGTATCAGTCTTGATATCAGCAGCGAGGGTATGTGATTTTTAAGCCGTGGTAGCTAATCGGGCCTGATATATGGTTGATGGCTCGATCTCCGCACCCCAACCGCAGATGAACCTAACCGCTCTCGTTCACAGATTCGATTAAGAATGCAGCATCAACCGCCGCCTACGGCATGATGAAGCATTACAAAGGAAATGAATCTGGCGAAATTCCGGGCAAGATCCCCAATACTTGGTGGGAAGGTGGCGCCATGTTCATGACGCTCATGCAATACTATCACTACACGGGGGATTCCACCTACAACCAGGAAGTCATCCAGGGCATGCAGTGGCAGTCGGGCGATTGCGATTTCATGCCGGCGAACTGGAGTAGCTACATCGTGAGTTCCTCGCCTAATGGCTGCCCCTTCCCCAACTAATCAAGGCATTCAGGGAAACGACGATCAAATGTTCTGGGGTTTGGCCGCTATGACTGGTGCCGAACTGAACTTCCCCGACTCTAGTGATGGATACTCCTGGCTTTCGCTGGCGCAGGGTGTCTTCAATACCCAAGTCGCCCGCTGGGATAATTCTACCTGCGACGGGGGTATGCGGTGGCAGATTTACACCTACGAATCCGGTTATACCATGAAAAACGCCATTTCCAACGGTGGTCTGTTTCAACTGTCGGCTCGGCTGGCGCGCTATACTAGCAACCAGACCTACTATGACTGGGCAGAGCGCATCTGGGACTGGTCGACCACGACGCCGCTATTAAGCAACTCAACCTGGAACGTTGCTGACTCGACATCGACGACAAACGACTGCAGTACCCAGGGCGATAACCAGTGGAGCTATAACTACGGCGCTTATCTTGGAGGAGCTGCGTACATGTACAATTACGTAGGTCAGCCCACAGCATCGAGAAACGATCAACTCCTGACCTATCGCAGACCAACGGTACCAGCACCAAATGGATGAACGCCGTCGATGGCCTGCTGAATCGCACGTTGAACAAGTTTTTCCCAGCAAGCCACGGCGGTGAAATCCTAACGGAGATTCTATGTGAACCGACAGAGGTGTGTAACGACAACGAAATCATCTTCAAGGGCCTCGTGTCTGCCTGGCTCGCCTACACAGCCCTACTGGTTCCGTCCACGTACAACAGAATCCTGCCCAAGCTGCAAGGATCTGCCCAGGGCGCTGCCGCAACCTGCACCGGGTATGGTAACAACACCTGCGGCGTGCGATGGTGGAACAGTACCTGGGATGGCTGGAGCGGACTCGAGGAACAAATGAGCGTTACCAGCGTCTTCTCGTCGAATATGATCGCCTTCAACTCCTCGTCTGCACCGTTGACTTCCAGCACGGGAGGCAACAGCACCAGCAACCCGTCAGCCGGAACCGATGACAGCTCCGATGACAAGACCATTCTCAGCACGATCACCACGGGAGACCGCGCGGGAGCGGGCATCGTGACAGTTGCTTTTGCTGGGGGTTGGATTGGCTTGATGGCATGGTTGATGCTCGGTTAATGATACCATAATTGGCGTTAGTTTTGTATATATTGTGTAAATAATTAGACGAAGATATGTCTGCAAAAGCATCATTGCAAACACTATTAATATATGAGATGAAGGTCTATATGACACAGTCCAGGAGTATTGCTGTCTAGAGTATTCTTCGAATACGAATGAGCAATGATTTGAATATTCTCGTATGTATGTACATCAACTTGCTAATAATTGCATCGCATCCATCAACTGCCAGAAACACGGTATAATGTATGTATGGTATATAAACTAAAAACGGCATAAACTTTTAATTTTTCCAAGGGGCAATAGATATTGTTTGCCAGGTGAAAATTATCACAAAACACAAAACATCCCTCTGCAAGGGAAATGACCTACTGCTCCAACACGGGCTGCTTCTCCTTCAACCCGGTCTTCGTCTCCACATGCTCCTCGCTAAGATGCTGACGAGTGATAAACACACTAGCAACGAACCCACAAGCAGCGAGACAAGCATACATAATCCACATATTACGAAGACTCCACGCATATGCATCCGCCACAGCGTGTCGCTGAGTCGGATCCTGGACCGCGCGGACGGCATCAACATTAGCTGCCGCCTCCGTGCCAGAGAACTCAGCCAATAGTGACGAGGACAGCCCCGCAGCCTTCAGACCGTCTTGTCGCATGTCCATGCTGTTCTGGAACACGACACCCCCGAGCACTACGGACATGGCCATTGCGACGTTGCGGATGAAGCCGAAGGTGGCGGTTGCGCTGGCGGTGTTGGCCTGGGTGATGTTGCTTTGGAGGGCGAGGAGAGGCGGGAAAAAGAGCATTCCGCAGCCCATGCCGGCAGTGATTTGGTACCCGACGATTTTCCCGAGGGAGGAGGTGGCGCTGTAGTTGGTGAAGAGGCCTACTCCGAGAACTACGAGGGCGGTGCCGGCCCAGATGATTTCGAGGTAGCGGCCCGTGCGGTGGATGAGGAGGCCGGAGAAGAGACTGAAGGCTGCTTCGGTTAGGACAAAGGGGAGGATTAGGACGCCGGATCGGAATGGGGTGGATTCTTTGGCGGATTGGAAGTAAAGTGGGAGGTAGTATTCTGCTCCGAGGTAGGCCTGGTGAGGAGGGGAAGGGTTAGCGGTGTGATTGATGTGAGGGGGTTTGGTGGAGGGTCGTACAAAGCCATGTGTGAAGTCAACTAGGAAGCAGGCGACGTTGGACCGGTTCCTGAATACGCCAAGGGGCATGAGGGGGTATTTGGCTAGCTTCTTCTCACTGTAGATGAAGGCGAACGACATCAGACAGCCGAAGACGATCAGGCAGATTACCTTGGGGGAGCCCCATGGGAATGTGGCGCCGCCAAAGTCTAAACCTAGCAGAAGTAGGATGATGAGTGCGAGCATGGAGAAGCTCCCCCACCAATCTACGGCCTTGATTCCGGCCAGGACTGGGGTCCTTGGATTGTGTATATCCAGGAACACATAGAGCAGCACAAAGGCCGTTCCACAGACGGGAAGATTGATCCAAAAAATCCACCTCCATGAAACAGATTGGGTGAAAGCCCCACCCACAATCGGCCCTAAGGCACCAGCGATGGCCCAGATGAACTCGATCAATCCGAGGAACAGACTGCGGAGTCTATCTCCAAGTTAGCAATATACCAAGATAAGGAGTGTTAGGCAATGTTACCTGACGCTGAACAAGTCAGAAATGGTGATTGTGATCAGTTGAATGAGACCGCCACCAGCTATACCTTGTATGCCACGGCCGGTAATCAGCATGGGCATACCATTGGCTTTGGCGCAGATGATCGAAGCTACAAAGAACAGAGCAACGGCTGAGAGGAGGATAGGCTTTCGGCCCCAGATATCGGACAAATTGGCCCAAATGTTGGAACTGGCGGCATTGGCGAGGAGATAGGCACCTCCAATCCATACATAACCGGATGCTGAATGCAGATCGGACGAGATCGTTGGTGTGGCAGTAGCCACAATGGTCTGGTCAAGTGCGGAAATAAAGAGCGCAAGCTACTTCTTATAAGTAGGGTGTTCAAAATAAAATTTAGTGAGAAACACACCGAAAGGGCAAGCATAGTTGCAAAGATTTTCCAATTACTGCGAGGCCCAGGAGTCTCGGGTTCGGACTGAAGACCCTGTGGGGGAGTTTCTAGATCTTGTGCATTGGATACTATATTCTCCGAACCGCACTGATCAGATCCATAGTAGTTCTCGCTCACGGTTCCGGACGTGGATAGCATTTCGATTGGCTGCCGATCGGCACCAATCGAATCTCTAGAAGAACCCAACGCCATTAGGACCTCTTCTCCAAGAACTGGAACGCCAATATCAGCCTGTAAAGATTTTGGCGAGGAGAAGATAGGATGGGGAAGATGGATGCAGGGCGAAAAGATTGAGTCACGGCTGTTTGTTCAGTTTGTCTGTGTCTTGGCTGGGGTTCCCGTTTGCCGATATTCTCTCCATCTTTCATCCCTTCTTTGCCGAGTGAGTAATTAGAAGTAGAGCGATCTCACAGACACAATGTTTATGTACGCTGCAGGCTCCTCGTCGCTTAGTACGGAATGTATGGGTAGCGTAACCTCCACATCAATTGTATGACAGTTCATCTGGGCGATTGACAGCTCCACTTTGCTGACGCATAGTATATAATTGACATTAACTAGTGCCTAGTATGATCTAGTGAGAATGGTCTAGTAGCAGTACTAGTATGAATAAAATGCCTTATATTTCTAGCCCAGTATGAAGCTACGTGATCAGGCCTTATGTATTCCGCATTGTGCACTCGTTACGAATCAGGACTACTGAAGCAATGATAAAAGCTTAAACAAGGCAGAGTTAAAGATGATGGAAGGAGCGGAATTGTTTTTCGAAGGATTTTCAATAGACTTCAATGGATCTCTATAGGATCTTTATTGAATCTTCATTGGATTTCCATTGGATTTCCATTGGATTTCCATTGGTCTTCTACTGGGACTTTCCCTAACAATTCATAGTCTGAGCCCACTTGGCTGCTGCAGTGATAAAGGCACACTTCCTGGGCAGGCTGAGATGGGTTGATCCGGTGTCTTGCATCCCAGTAATAGGCGGCCACCCAATCAAGCTCTACATTTGTAGCGTCAATCGATATCTTAACTGATAACAAATGGATAGTCCCGGTTGAAGCCATATATGCGAGAAGTCAATACCAAATATGCCCCGAGCTGTAGGTACATATAGTGTATATTGTCAGATGAGAGGTGCTAAGTGACATCTATAAAAGACAGACAAGGCTCTAAAGCAACCAGAAAACGCAATATACACACAGGAGTTAAAAGCTAATCGAGATCTTACCCCTTTTTCAAGGAAGAAAAGTTTCAAGCAAAGGTGAGCTCTGATAAATTTCTACTCTAGCCATACTGACGTGCATAGGAAATGTGTGAGGTCCACGTTACAACGACTCGCTATACAAAATGCCCTGCTTCTTGCACCAGAGTCAGGCGCGTCTTGTATAAAGAAGGATGTCCCACCTACGCAGCAACTGGACGGACTTGCCCCTATCCGAAAGAAAAGCACCTTGGCCAAACAATCACTCGAAGCCAGTGCCCAGACCACAGAGATGAGGGATTCACAGAGCGCGACACTCGATGAATATGAGTGGCTTGGACGGAAGCCGTTGGACTTAAAGGGAATGACTTATGGTAGATACTCGACTTCCACAGCTGCAACGGCGTCATGAACAGCCTGGGCCGAATGGATCTGTCCACGCCAACACTCTGAAATCACAAAACCACATAAGACGTTAGAAACATCAGGAAATTGTTGAACTTCGTATAGCTTCTCGACCTCATCACTGAGGATGTCCTTGTAGGGATAAGTGCCTGTCATTATAAAGTAAATTAGAGACCCCAGACCGAAAATGTCGTCTCCATAAACCGGAGGGACATTCCAGTCATAGCCAGGAGGTCGGAATCTTGTTGCTGGAGTAGCTGAGGGTTCTGAACCACATAGTGAAGCGCCACCAAAGTCAGCGATTTTGACATTGAGGCTCGAGTCGAGAAGGAAATTTCTTGGCGAAAGATCACAGTGTATGATGTGATGAGCATGGAGAGCACTGAGTGCTTTAGCAACCTGTTTACACCATTGGAGTCGAAGTTGAAGGGTTATATCTGGCATGTTATGTTGAATGTATTCTTTGAGATTCCCATTCTCCAAATATTCCATAGTGAGGCAGCAAGTTTCTTGATCCCAATTCAGTATCTTGGGAACACATGGATGTTCTCCTATCATTGCATAAACCTTGGCCTCAAGCCGCATATTACGACGGTGGTCTTCTTCTTCAGGAGGGCAGTATGGATTTGGGATAGGTGTCTTCATAACGGGGCCAGAAGGCAGTCGCTCAAGAATAGCGGTTCCTCCCCAAGCCAAGGTTTTGCCTTTGGTAACATATATCACTTCTCCTGGACGTGCTTCCGGTATCTTGCTGAGACTCAAGGAATCTCCTCCTTCTGTCAAACCAGAAACACATATGTAGGTTATCTCTTGGGGATAAGGCTTGGGCAGGTTACTCCTTTCTACTGTTGATTGCCTGGCTGTCTTCTAGGTAGAAGTGGTAAGGAAGCAGTGAATCACACATGATAGAATTTAACTTACTGCATCTGGCTCTGCTTCCAGGCGGCCAGGGCACTCAGTTTCGGCATTGTGTCTATGACGAGGGAGCATTGCTGTAAAGAGGCTACTTATAGAAAAGTAGACGAAGTAAAGAGAAGACCAAATGGGATCAATGAACAATAGCAAACTCGGCATCATGAGTCTCATCAATGTCATCAGCAAATTACCTTCGGACTGTGTTTTAAAGCTGAATTATGATACTGACTCGCAGTAAGGGAACTGCGTAGGGGTGATAGATTGATAGAGGGATAGTGTGAGGAAACGAAGACCAAAGAGCGATTTAATAATAGTTATGCATTGAGTATTAGTAAGCATAAACAATATTTATGTTCATGTGTCTCGTCTCCCTAACGAAGCAGACGGAATCCGCCAGGAAAACTGATTGCTTTACTGCAACAATCAACGCGCAACTGACGAGCACCATGCTTGCATTCTAATTTGATGAAATCCTCACACCGGCTTAATTCTTTTCCCTAGATCCATTTCCGGCTCCAAATGGCTTCTCAAACGACCGGAGTATTGGTGCATCGGCTATACGGATAGGCGTGTAAGCGACACGAGGTGTCTGCTAAGTCGAAATAGGCTTGAACTCCGCCTGCTCGTCTGTCGGAGTTATCCTACCGAACTGTTCCTTCGAGGTGTACGAATCCACACTCCGGACCAATGCGGGAGACCCTGGAAGTCCCTTCCCCAGTTTTCGGGGATTCTCCGCGTCTGGTCCCTCTGCAAATGTGGAGTTGACGGCACAAATGACGCATTGGCGGCCAATGCAGAATCTACTAGCTTGCCGTCCTCGGAAAAGAATAAGCTATCAGACATCATGCTATCAAGAATTTAGAAGTATTAGTATGGCTGTATGTCACTTTCAACATGGCGTTGTGGTCATTGCTTCTCTGCTATCGACCCGATTGAACCTGCCAGTGGAAACTGCAGCTTAAAGATGGGGGTAAAAGCCTTCAGCTTCTTCGTTGCTGCAGCTCAGCTTTCTGCAGTGACTGCAGCAGCATCTCGCCTAACTGTCGATACAACCGTTGGGCGACTGTATGGCATGGTCAATGGTTCAGCTCCGGATGTTGCGCAGTTCCTTGGAGTTCCGTTTGCAGCACCTCCTGTGAACGAACTACGATTCGCGCCTCCTCAGACGAAGCCTGCAGAGGCTATCATTGATGCCACGAAGATCGGGCCTTCTTGCCCGCAATATCCGTTGACCACGAAGACAGACCCGTCTGTGTACACGTTTGACTCTCCTTGGCTACAACCATATGGACCGACATCAGAGGATTGCCTGACTCTCAATGTTTGGAGCCCATTGCATGCCGTCAATGAGACGGATGAGCCATTGCCAGTGTTGATCTGGATGTTCGGCGGTGGGTTCTACGAGGGAGGGCTCTTGACGAACGGTTTTGATCCGAGTAATTGGATCCAAAGGACACAGTCTCATATTGTCGTTGCCATCAAGTGAGTCCTCTTTTTCTTGTCCATTGCTTGGACCCGTTTTGTACTTGGCAACGAATGTCTCTCCATCTCGGCATTGCAACTGATCACTTGCAACTCTAGCTATCGGGTCAACATCTTTGGCTTTCCCAACGCTGCAGGCCTGGCTGAGACCCAGCAGAACCTTAACTTTGGACTTCTTGACCAAAGATTTGCGGTTGAATGGGTTCGAGATAATATTGCTGCTTTTGGAGGAGACCCGTCCAAGATTACTCTCTGGGGCCAGAGCTCTGGAGCAGCCAGCACGGACTATTACAACTACGCCTGGCCCGATGATCCCATTGTGTCTGGCCTGATCATGCATTCAGGCAGTGTCTTTGCTACAGGTTCCAGTGCAGACGTTGAGCATACGAACTTCACCTTTGTGGCTGAGCACATGGGCTGCGGCGATCTCTCCCCTCGAGCAGAATTGGCTTGCATGAGGAACGTTAGCGCAGACTCCATCATTCAGTTTTACGAAAACTACACCCTGTACTCGACCGGTCCTACTCTGAAGTTCACAACTATTGTGGACAATGTGACCAAATTTGAGGACTACACTGCCAGGGCTTATGCAGGAAATTACTCAAAGCTTGTGAGCAGCTACCGTTTCTGATACTCGTTCTATGCTGATTGTCTTGCCATAAAGCCCGCTATTTTCGGCACCAACGCCAATGAAGAAGCCTCTTTGGTTGCTTGGGCTGGACCCCAAGGTCCAAACATGACCTACGTTCACGAAGAGACCGTGTCCACCCACCTCTGTCCGGCAAACTACAATGGGCAGTGCGTCTTTATCCACCCCATGTTTTCGGCTCAATACTGATCGTTTATTCATAATATAGTCTTCGCTACAACACCTCATCCCTCTCCTTCCGCTACTTCAATACGGCTAACTTCAGTAACATTTCCCCTCGACCTTGGGAAGGAGCTTACCACAGCTCCGAACTCCCCTTGCTATTTGGCACATACTCGGAGTATGGCGGACCCGCTACGCCTTTCGAGACCGCCGTAGCATCCCACTGGCAGGATCTCTATCTTGCGTTCATGCGGGATCCGGTCAATGCGCTCCCAGCAATGGGATGGCCTGCGTATCATCCTGATGGGTATGCGATGATGTTTGCTGCCAACGGGACCGTTACGAGTCTGCTGCCAATGAGTACTTTGGAGACCCCGTGTGCTGGCATTCCCGAGCCAACTATAGGATGAATGCAGGAGCTACGCTGTCAGCAAGAGCTGGGGGAAAGCCGAATATGAGGCAGAACTGGACGCATGTACATACTCTGCCAATGGTTTACACTATGTATATAAAGAACTGGGTTACTGAGCCAGCCTAAGGGAGGCTTCGGAGTAACATTGGCATTCCCCAAATTAATTACATAAATGAGAACGCAATTTTCAGATAGTACATCTCCCCAATACTGTTACTGATACTTCCAATACCAAAACATTGTAATCTACTCCCGTCTCGTGACAACAACAGGCAAGCTCCCCGTATGCCCACTAAACGTCTCCATAGTCTCCAACTCCCACCCTTCCTCCCTTAAGGTAAGATCATACCTCCAGACCAAGGCCGCAATAACCAACTGCATCTGAAAATAAGCAATATTCCGTCCCAGACATCCCCTTCCTCCCTGCGAGAAAGCCAGAAACCCGCGCTGCATATCACGCGACCCAGGCTGCAACCACCGCTCGGGAATATAGCACTCTGAATCGGTACCGAAGATATCCGGATCTCGGTGGACGGTATACGTGGATACAGAAACGGTGGTGCCTTCGTCTAACCACTCACCAGACACCATCATACCTCCCTTCGGGACAACGCGAGGAAGACCACCGGGGATGGAGGGACGAAGACGTAGGCCTTCGTCTATGCAAGCACGGAGATAGGGAAGGTTTTTGACTAGGTCATATGATATGGGGTTTGGTGAATCGTTATGAGGTGGAAGTGCATCTGCAAGTTCTGCACGAAGTTGTCGAACTACGTGTGGATTGCTTGCGAGGTACCAGACGATGTTGGTCAGAGCGATTTCGGTGTTTCCGCCCGCAGCACTGAAGAGGTTTTGGGCCTCTGTCACTAACTCGCCCATTTCCAAACACAAGGGATGTTCGCGGTTTCTGTCCCAGAGGAGCGTGGTCATGAGATCGTCTAGTGGTGGGAGACCTGCGTCCACGCGCTCAATGTCCATGTTTACTCGTTCGCGCACAAAGTGCGTGGTGACGTGGTGGAGCTGGGTACCGTCCTTCCAACCTAAATGCCAGCAGGTTAGATGCTTGAGCATGACCCTGAGTTTCGGTGCCCATCCGAGGCTGGTGGAGATGTGCAGAGCGCTAGTCAGCAGATGGTGAACTTCGCCTTTGCATGGGGACCCGGACGGTGTTTTGATAGTGACACTGGTGCTGCCTCGCTCTATGAATTGGGGGTCGTGGTGGAAGAAAGTGTCGAAGATGAGGTTGTACATCAGGTGCATCATTATCTGCTTTATGTCCACTCCCTCCCCGTTGGAAGAGTCCAGTATGCGAAAGACACGCTGCAGGTGGTCTTGAACCACAGGCTCGAGCTCAACGATACGTTTCTGGGAGAAGGCGATGGCAAATCGCTTTCGTTTGATACTGTGAATGTATCTATCCTGAGCATCAGATACGTTGAGGTGAGTTGAGTTAAAGGTCTGGTAAAAATCATCTTTCAGTGCTGGTGTTCCGTGGCCGTAGATGTCGCGGATTGCTTCAGCCGTCGAAAAGGAGACGTGGCTTGGCCCGACTCGGACGATGCTGCCATGTTTGAGGTGTGCTTTATGGACGGCCGCGGTACGTGTACGAAGGTATTGCTTCCATACTCCCCAGAGATCAGTTATAGGAGCGACTGACACTCCAGGGAAGCGCTTCAGACCTTTGGGGTCATGAAGATATGTGTATATGGGGGCGAGGACAGCCCTGAGAACGATAAGGATATTAAACACGACAATAATCTCTTTGTACATGATGCGCTGATATCAGAAGCCAAATAGCAAGCACTATCCTGCCTCAATCTTCTGTCACGCAGCTTGATGCTAGATGAAGCTGATATACTTGCACCCTCGGCGCCGAGTTGCCTGATCGGGAACAATGCAGCAAACCAGGGCTGTCTTAGACTTCCCCGCAAAGGAAGAAAAGACCGAGCATGTCTTTCCACCATCCTCACTGCTGCCGCCTCCCAGATGCTGAGAAATGCGCAAGAAGACTTGGTGAGTTGTCTCTTGACTGCAGGGATGTATGCTGACCCAGACACGCAGTCTGACATGCAAATCTCGCAAGGTGCGATGTAAGGGCCCAGTGAGCTCGGAGATTATGCCAGGTCTATAGAGCTGATCCCCCACAGGCGATGGAGTTCAGCCTGTCTGTGGTCGCTGCTCGAAGTCAAGTCGCTCTTGTCGCTACGCTCAACATCGGTCTGCGACCATCGCCTTTCGACATAGCAAATTGTCGACTCTCGTAGCTCAAGCAGAAGGATTCACCCAAACTGATAAGATTGACGTCTCGGTCTCAACACAACCCCCTGCATGTACTCCGGTGGTGACAGAAACCACTCAAGTGCCATCAACTTCTCTATTTCCTACTGAACCGGTGGTGTCTGCTCTCCCCGCTAATGATCGAACCCTACCGCACAATGTTATTCGCTATCCTACCTCTGAGTCAGGAGAAGCAGCATCGAGTCCATCCTTCCCACGAAACCCGTACACAGTTTCGCCGACTGCACCAATCCCCAGGCCTGGTCTCTTCTACAGGCATGCGCCTCGGAGACTAACGACCATAGAGGGCGAACTATTACACTTCTTTGTGCAGAACATCGGACCCTGGGTACACACAACCATCTAATAGTACGATCATGCCCTGACAATGTAACAGCTAGATGTCACCAGCCCTGAGCGCCATTATACATATACGGTTCCTCGGTATCCACTCACATCCTTTTCTATAGCAGACAACAAACCTAATACCAAACCACAGACTATCCCTACAATGCACCCTCCTCCACACAGCCATCATGGCCTGCTCCGCGCACATCCTCCGCCTCCTCAACTCCGAGCGGACCGAGCTGTCATCCGAAGAAGACAAATACCAATCCACATGCATCAACCTCCTCATCCCCATCCTCAATGACGTAGGCTCAGCAGTTCAAGATGAAGCCGTGCTCGCCACTATCACCATCCTCCGTATGTCCGAGCAATACGACGAATACCACATAGACCGCCAATGCCACCTAGTCCCAGGAGCATTCGCGCATCTCGACCCCTCCGTGCAAGCATCCACCCGCACTGGGGGTCTACTACAAGCGACCTTCTACTCCTACGTGCGGGCTGATATCCGCATGGCCATTCTCGGCCGCTGCAGCACCAAGATCGCTGTATCTAGCTGGCCATTGGACGAAAGCTACCCCGAGACAGACGCTGACTGGGCAAATAGGATGACGTGGCTGCTAGTTCATGCGATCAATCACTGCTTTGGTCGTGAGTGTCCGGGTTTGTTGCCGAGGGCTCAGTTAGGTGAACTTATCGATGACTGGAGGAGTAATGTGCCTGATACATTTGAGCCGTATTACTATGGAGAGCAGGAACGAGACTCGTTCCCGGTCATTAGGTTGCTTTGTCCGTGGCATGGTATGTTCATTTCCTCCCCTTTATTTAGTCCACTCTACATCCTAGAGAGCTACATGTTAGCTTTCCTTCCCCATAACCAATCAGGTATTCAAAAAATAACTTACGAATGAAATGTAAACAGTTGTCGGTCTCCAATTCTACCACACAGCCAAAATCCTCCTCGCCTCGCACTTCCCACAACCACCATCATCACCACACACCACCCCAGACACAAACATCAACACGAACAACACCTTAACATACCACCACCACCTCAAAACCACCATCCTCCCACACGTCCACGCTCTCTGCGCAATCTCCTTCTCCAACTATCACTTCGGATGCCGTATCAACGCCTCTCATTGTGTCGCTATGGGTGGGTAGTATACCTCAGTCCCTTCCCCCAAAATATACTTTAGATGGGATGAATATGACGACATGAAGATCGTGCAACTAGTAGTATAAGTAACTAAGAGAGCTAACTGTATTTGACTGAACTACAGGAGCACAGTTCCTCACCGGCCGGGGAGATCAATGGCGCGTAGTAGAGTATTTCAGGATGTTGGGAACGGAGAATGCGTGGCCGAGTCGGGCGTGTTTGGATATGGTGGGGGCAGTTTAGTGTAATATGTATCAAGGTACACTCAGTCGGGTTGTGCTGCGCTGTCGGAAGATTATGCACGTGCGTGCAGTTTGTCTATTTTCCGAATTGCATGTCTAAGCTGTATTGTAGATCGATTTTACTTCGTGTTTGAGTTATGACCTGGATGACAATCTGATACTGCAACAGCCACCGTTACCTATCTCTCTCTGTCTATCTTATCATATACACCACATCACACAACCACCATCACTACCAACTCCCTATCCGCCAGCGGGAGGGCTCGAGTTTCTGAATAAGAATACCCTAAGCATAGACATGAACGAGAATAAAAAAACAATGCCAGCCCTGACACCAATCTATACGCCCCGTGAACGTGACAACCCAATGAACGTATAACAAACCAAGAAAATGAAAACCCAAGTGCTTAGCACGGATACACTCCCCACCACCTCTATTTGTTGTGTATCAAGAAATTGCGGAACGAATCCCAGTGGTCGGAGTCGGCGTAGCTGCAAGAGTCAGTATATATCCACTTGAACGGCGTATGGCAAGCCACTAGAACAGTAAAAAAGACGTACATATACACCATACTGCTCCTCAAACTCGACATCAAAGTGTCCGGGTGCCACCGGAAAATATACATGACAAAGGCCCAAGTCAAACTGGCGAATACTGGCCAGGCATTACTCTCCATCTTGGATCTCGCATCCGGAGTAATCGACGACGACAGCGGGTGCATGTTGGGCCGGACGGCCAGTTTGGCCATTGCGAGCATGACACGCGCGAAGACGTAGATGACGATCTGGACTCCCGTTAACTTCTGATCATCGCCCCGGCGTCGTGGGGTTCCTACCTGTTGCGTAATGCTCGTCTTGTGTCTTCCAAAGACCACGTATCCTCCTACCAACCCAGCCATGAAACTATCGTATCTGCCTTCCTTTCCGCCAGTGGTGGGGTTTATGTTGCGAAGTGCGAGCATGACGCCCTTCCAGATGAGTGCGAAGGTGGCTAGGTTGCGAGCGTGTTGACGGGTAGCTTTAAGAACGAGCTTGACCTTTTCTCGAATTCTGAATGGATAGACATCATTGTTGTTAGCTTGCGTGGTCTTGACCGTGCTGACTGGGAGTAAATACCCATGGAGAGGGAGGGGGAAGAGGGACAGAAGAATGCGGGCACTCACGTTCCGGACCGGAAGAGGAAGATCATTCTATACAGCAAGCACATAACTGATTAGCTCTGACCTATACCATAACCTGCTATGATAACAAGGGTAGTATGATATGATATGCATACACTAAAGCATGCGGAAACCGCACTTTGGCACCGTAGACGGCGCCATTGCGCACACCTTTGACGAGAGCTAAGAGCGGCGCAAGATCGGGGTTTGTGACTAGCGAGTCAAGACGGGACTGTATTGCGGTCAATATCATATTTATCTCAAGTTAGTATTAAGCTTTTAAGGTCTGGCTGTGTTGGAATGAACAACCGGCTTCATAACTCACCATTAGAGCATCCATCTTGATCTTTCTTGTTTGGTCGTCGGACCTCGGCACGGATCCGGTGAGTGAGCGCGGAGGTAGTAGGATGAGGGAGATTATTTCACGTCCGGAGGGCTTCCAAGAGCAGGGAGAGTATGCAGCCGCAGTCGCCAGGATGACTGCTTGCTTGCTTCATAAGGGAGGGAGTGGCAGGGGAGCATGGCAAGTAATGGTGGTGGGGGGAAGGAAAGGAAAGTCGGCATTTAAGGAAGGGAAGCAGATCCGCGACGAGCTCCAAAGATCCTCGGCATGTGAGAGCCGAACGTCATGTCACGTGGACACACCGGGATAGACAGTAGTGATAGATGAAGATTTATTGATCATATAATGTGAACAGTAACAACTTTTTGCATGTCTAAAACATCATCACATATCAACAATACCGGTCCGAGCGAGCTGCTTTGACCTCAGTCAAGAGTGAAATCCAAACCCCCGGAACGCCGATAGAGAGGTAGACTATACTAGATAGTAGATAGACAATAGTAGACGACAGTATGCGCATCAAAGAAATGAATAAACTGTAGTGTGATCAAGCACATCAGGCCGTCTTCGTCCGCTTGCGTCCCTCATCCTCCGAGATCTCATCCACATCCATCATATCGGCATCACCCTCCTCGTCATCCGACTCGACACCAGCACGACGCTTCAAACCCTTCATCTTACGAGTCTGCAGACCGCTAAGATCCTGCTTACCCAGATGCACGCGGCCGATCTTATCACCGATCGAATCCAACCCAATGTTCTTCTTGAGCTTGATCTCCTCATTCGGCCTCTTACCCTGCTTCATGGCCTCCTTCATGACCTCCCTCGGCGCCTCTTGCAGACGTCCAACCTTGAAGTCAAACTTAGGACCAATCTCATCCAATTCCACACGAGGCAACTTATGCCCACTGCGCTTCGTCCGCAATTTGTACCAGCGAAGGTGCACAACAGGCGCCAGTCCGTCCGTGGCCTCCTCCGCGCCAATCATCAACACATACTGCAACCCCTCAACATCAATCTTATCACTCGTCTCTCCCTTGAACATATCCACAAACATGCTCTTCAGCATAACATGCGGCGTCGACGTCTCATCATCCCAAGCACTGCCAGAGAACAACAGCATCGGCCGCATGCCAATACCAATCTGCAGACTCTCCAATCCAGCCGTCTGGTCCTGATTCGGCAACAACAACAGCTCACACATATCCAGGATCTTGGAGTTGAACACCCGGGCCAGCGTCAGGCAGTTGGGGCGCTTCTTGTTGCTGCTTCCGAACACGACCATACCGCACTCGTTCTTGTCGGCCAAAAACTCCAGGCTCTCAACGCTCTCGAAGGGGTGGATGTTGGCATTCTTCTTGTGGAATAGAACCGAGTTGGGCCGAGTCAGCGAGTGGAAGGTCTTCAGCACCGTGTGCAGCGGTTGAGGGCATTTAGATCCGTGAAGGAGAAGAGTCCGTTTCGGGGGCTCGATAAGTTGCGGCTCTTTGGCTTTGAGGATGCGCGCGGTGCGCGCGTTCTTGGGTTTTCTGTTTCGATAATTTCCATTAGCCGTATTCAAAGTAGTAGTAAATTATGGTATCAACGTACACTTCTCGGAGCATCTTGGCGGATGGGACGAGATTGGGGGCAGTGGAGGAGATTGAGAATGCTGGAGTTCGCTGCGGAAAATGAAAAAAGGCGGAGCAAAAACTTTTGGCGGATGGGGCTTGGCATCGCTTATCGATAAGCTTATTGTCTCCACGCCAACATCAATGCTCCTGCCTGCCAGTTGGGATACTTCTATTTCTATCCTATTCACTTAGATATTTCTTTAATTAGTAGTAAAATATGTGTGCTCTGAAAGAAATTTATGTCACATTACTATTCACTACCAATAAGAGTGTGATCTGGTCACGTGCATCCACTACAAGACATACAATATCATCGAAATGAACAAAAAGAAAAGAAAACTGTTATTTTGGTGTCTAAGTCCAATTGTATGTGTATCACTGATATCTACTCAAAGCCCATCAACTCAGAGCATCTACTCCAACCGCAGCTTCTCAAACTCGCGGATCTGCTCCTCCAAGCGAGCGGCCTCGCTCTCGGCATCACGGAGCTTCTTCTGCTCGGCCTCGCGAACCTCGGGCTTAGCCTTCTCCCAACCAGCACTGCTGATCAGCTTCTGCTGGCGACCAACAGTCTCGCGCGCCTTCTCAAGACTGGCCTTGGCCTTGTGCTCCTGCTCAAGGGCCACCTCCTTGGACACACGGAGGTAGACGGCCGCCTGGGAGCTGACAGGAGCCACAACGCAGCCCGACGGGGGAACGGTGTTCTCAGGGCCAAGCACGCTGAGATCGCCCAGGAACTTGCCACCAAGCGACTTGATGCTGGTGAGCTCGTCGGAAATCGTCTTGTGGCTGGTGGCGTCGTAGGTCTGGATGACGACATCGGCCTTGGTCTTGATCTCATACTGGGCCATGATGGACCGGACAGCCTTGGAGGTGTTGAGAATCAGCTCGTAGGCAGTCTCGGCCTCGACGTCATCGAACTCAGGAGTGTACTCGGGGTATTTGGCCTTCATGATCGAGATCGTGGCATCGCCCTCGCGGCGGGGGAGACGTTGCCAGAGTTCCTCGGTGACGAAGGGCATCATGGGGTGAATGAGGGTCAGAGCACCCTCCAGTGCAGTGTAGAGGGTCTGCTTGGCAGACTCCTGCACCTCAGCGGGGACGTCCTCTGCCAGGAGGAACTTGGAGTTCTCGATGAAGACGTCACAGAGCTGGCTGTACCAGTACTGGTAGACGATCTGAGCAGACTGGGAGAACTCGCGCTGCTCCAGGGTCTCGTTCATCTCCTTGGCAGCCTGGTTGAACTTGTGCAGAATCCAGCGCTCAGACAGAGACTCCTTGCCGGTCTTGGTAGGGGTAGCCTTGGGCTTGAAGTTGTCGCCCAACTTGCCAAGCACGAACTTGGTGGCCTGGTAGATCTTGTTACAGAAACGGCGGTAACCGTGAATGACCTGGACGTCGAACGCAATATCACCACCTACATAATGAATGTTAGCAGAGTTTCTTTTACTCTGAGATTAGTGGGTGAAACGTACCGCCAGTAGTGTAAGAAACCAAGGCGAAGCGCAGAGCATCAGCACCACACTCGGGAATACCCTTGGGGAAAGCCTTCTTCTGGTACTTGGTAGCAGTAGCAACCTCCTTCTCGGCGAGGTTACCAGTGAGCAGCTTGGCGTGGAGTTCCTGGAGCTGGATACCCTCCATGACATCCAGAGGGTCAACAACGTTACCCAGAGACTTGGACATCTTGCGGCCCTCGGAATCACGGATCAGAGAGTGGCAGTACACCTCCCGGAAGGGAACCTGGCCGGTCATCTTAATACCAAGCATGATCATTCTGGCAACCCAGAAGAACAGAATATCCCAACCCGTCTCCAAGACGGAAGTGGGGTACAGGTTCTCCAGGTCGTGGGTCTTGTTGGGCCAGCCCAGGGTCGAGAACGGCCACAGTCCAGAAGAGAACCAGGTATCAAGGACATCAGGATCCCGGACCAAGCTGAACTTCTTGCCAGGGAACTTGGCTTCAGCCTTCTCCCGGGCAGCCTCCTCGGTGCGGCCAGTGACCCAGCGCTCGCCATCGCTGTCATCGTTCTCCTCACCCTCGATCTGAACGAAGTAGGCTGGAGCCTGGTGACCCCACCACAGCTGACGGGACAAACACCAGTCGTTGATGTTGGTCATCCAGCGGTAGTAGCTCTTCTCGGCAGACTCGGGCTTGATGACAATCTCGCCCTTCTCAACGGCCTCGAGAGCCGGCTTGGCGAGACTCTCCATCTTCATCCACCACTGGGGCTTGAGGATGGGTTCGATAACATCGTTGGACTTGGCGCAGCGGGGGATCTTCATGGGGTTGTTCTCCCACTTGACGTAGAGACCCTTCTCCTTCAGCATCTCAATGACCTTGTAACGGGCATCGAAGCGCTTCATGCCAGCGAAGGGACCACCCTTGCTGTTGAAGGTACCATCGTCATTCAGCACAGAGATGAACTCGAGGTTGTGGGCCTTTCCACGGTTGAAATCATTGAAATCGTGGGCGGGGGTGATCTTGACGGCACCAGTACCGAACTCGGGGTCGACATCCTTGTCGGCAACGATGGGCATCAAGCGGTCAACGAAGGGGTGGCGAGCGTTCTTGCCGACCAAGTGGGCGTAGCGCTTGTCGTCGGGGTGGACAGCAATACCACTGTCACCGATCATGGTCTCGGGACGAGTGGTGGCGATCTCGATACGCTCGGTCTTACCATCGACATCGACCTCGTAGCAGAAGTGAGTCAAGACACCGAACTCGATCTTCTTGTCGTAGCCCGGCACGTCGAGGAGAGTACGACCCTCAACCTCCTTGTTCTCAACTTCAAGGTTGGACAGAGAGGTGTTCAGAGCCACACACCAGTTGACCAGGCGGTTGGCACGGTAGATGATACCCTCCTCGTGGAGGCGAACGAAAGTCTCCGTGACGGCAGCGGACAGGTTGGGGTCCATGGTGAAGGCCTCGCGGGTCCAGTCGAAGGAACCACCGACTCTGCGAAGGGCGTTCTTGATGTTGGCATGGTATTCCTTCTTCCAGTCCCACACGCGCTCGAGGAAGGCCTCACGACCCAGGTCGTGACGGGTCTTCTTCTCCAACTTCCAGAGCATCTTCTCGACGACACTCTGGGTGGAGATACCAGCGTGGTCCATACCCGGCAGCCACAGGGTAGTCTTGCCCTTCATGCGCTGCCAGCGGATCATGGTGTCTTGGAGGGCGTTGGTAAGGGCGTGACCCATGTGCAGGGCACCGGTCACATTGGGAGGAGGGATAGGAATGACGAAGTAACCTTCAGGCTTGACCTTGTTGTCCGAGCCGAACTCGGGCTTGAACAGGCCGCGTTCCTCCCACCATTCGTAACGGCCAGCCTCGATGACCTTGGGGTCGTAGGCATCAGTGGTCTTCTCCTTCTCGACCTTGGGCTTCTTCTCGGCCTTGGGGGCGGCAGTCTTCGCAGCAGCGGCCTTGGCCTGCTTCTCGGCGAACTTCTTCGCCTTCTCGGCCTTGCGACGTTCACGCTCCACTATAGATATCCAGCGAGTTGTCAGAATGTTGTTGTATCAGGATGTCGGGTGGTGGCAGGACAGTATGGGTCCTATGGTCCGGAGGATGGTTACATACGTTCCTTCTCGCTCTTCACCTTCTGGCCCTCGGCGGGCTGAGCGGCAGCATTGGCATCCTGGTTCCGCAACTGGTCGTCGGCCTGGGGAGGAACGTCGACGGGAGCCTTGGGCTCACCAGCTAGAGTAAGCAACAGGGTGGTCAGTCAGTCAGTCATTCACATTGAGCCCCCTGCGGGGTGGGATGGAACGATAAGAGGGGGGAGGAGGAGGAGGAGGAGGAGTAGGAAGGCGACAAAGAAACGTACTCGGGTTTTGGGGAGCAGAGGGCTGGGCCATTCTGGAAAATGGACGATATAGAGGAAGGGGAGGAGGGAATCTCCAAGGCGCCGATCGCGCCACGAACCGACGGATAAGTATCTTGACCACCGGTGACTCAAACGGCGATAGAGAGAGCAAGAGGGGGAGGGGTTGGGTCGTTGTGCGAATGCGGGCAATTAAATTTCCTGGCGCAGAGCAAAAGATCGGAACGAATCAGAGCATCCGGGTGCGGGGCCTGAGGTCTCTTTCTCCCCCAAAACAGTGGAGAACGCAGTGTGCCTTAAAGTCGGAACTAAAGTAAACTGCTCGTCAGTCCCCTATGCACAGTGACAGATGTCAGAATTTGGACTGGAACTACCCTCGGTTTTAATGTTGGACAGCGATTGGGGATTCTCAATGTCGTCGTCTTTTTTTTTTTTGACTCATCTGCTAGTCACCTCCGCGGATGAAATCCTGCACGCCCTGCGCCGGTTTGAGTCAATGCTCGGGTCACGTGAGGGCACGGCCAGACCGTCGCTCTACTATTGATACTATACTACAATACAACTATCTGACAAGATTACCCAAATGGTCTACGTCTTTCCTCCAGTCACATCATACAGTGCCTTTGGTAGACCCTGTGCATACGTAATCTAGTCTGTCGAAAGGCATCTTTTGCTCTATGTAGCCTCCAACACTCCTCGACCAGGCCGGCCTCCCAAAAGTGCCGGCCCTAGTCCATCACCACCCACCCATGGAAGAAATCGGAATCAAGATCAGATGAGCACCAAAGATAACTAGTCCTCACGCCGATGTCAATGACGTATCAAACTGGAATTTGGCATGCAGATTATGGGAGAAAACGCCAGTAAAATGGCAAACGCGATAGATTGAAATGCAACGCAGACACATGTAAAACGAGATCCCATCAACACCAGACCAACTAGTCACGCGGAAAAACGGAAACGAGAAAGGCGCAGAGTATGGGGAAAGGTTATATGGTTACGCAGGTTCAAACAGGGGAGCGAAAGTCCTTCCCACTCTAAACACCGTCTCATAGATTCCACTCACGGGGTATGCCAAGAGGATTGAGTCGAGATATATTAGGCGTATGTCATCTGTCATCATCGTCGTCTCCGTATGCCATAACTCATCGCACCCGTGGCGCTTTCATTCATGCCACGACAAACTTCCCCCCGGCCCTTGCGGCACAATGTTTTGTGATGTTTTTATAGTATTAGATCCAGCATCCCATTCCAGACACAGACTAACTCAACATCCGAATCAAATCTCGTTATCACATCGGAGAACGACACTGGAAAAAAATGGCTCGCTGCAGCGAGGATCCCGATGCAGGGGTATGAAAATAGTCCTATCAGCACACCGTTCAACTCTTAGGCAGTCGTGGTGTTGTTCCGGGCAGCCTGGGCCTCGGCCGCCCGCACGGGGGCGAAGTATGGATGAGCCATGGCCTCCTGAGCAGTAAGGCGTTCCTGGGAAATCGTCAGCAGGGGGATCCTCCACGAACAGAGGGATATCTCATACAGCATGGTCATAACGGAGTAGTTTGTCCAAAAAGTCAATCGCTTCATCGCTGACGAAGCGCTGGTTCTCAGCATTTACAAACGAGAGCCAAGGCTTCCGGGGAAAGCGAGAAAGGATCTCATCATATTGAGGGTCCAGCTCAATCTCATATTTGTCCAGGTACTCGAACAGCTCCTCGGTACCAAGCACCTTGGCGATCTTCACCAACTGGTCGGAGTTGCTGTTACCGTGGAAGAAGGGCTCCTTGCGGAAGATCATGGAAGCAAACATAGCTCCCAGGGACCACATGTCCAGAGAGTAGTCGTATTCTTGGAAATCAACAAGAAGCTCGGGACCCTTGAAGTAACGGGAAGCGACGCGGACGTTGTATTCCGTGCCCTTGTGGTAGAATTCGGCAAGACCCCAGTCGATAAGGCGGAGCTATCCATATCAGCATAATGCCGGCGGAAATTTGAGCGGAGACCTACCTTGCGCTTCTCATGATCAATCATGACATTGTGAGGCTTCACATCCCGATGCATGATACCCTTGCTGTGGCAGAAATCCAGGGCCTTCAGAAGCTCGAAAACATAGAAACGGACATCATAGTCGGAGAACCGCGGGTAGAGAGTCCGGAAATCCGTGTTGTTGACATATTCGAACACCAAGCTTGGCGTCTTGCTCTGACTGTCGCGAACCACGTCCAACAAGGCGACCACATTGGGGCCACCCGCCAGGTTCTGAAGGATCTTGATTTCACGCTTAATCTTCTTCTTCTTGACCGGCTTGAGTACCTTGATGACGCATTTCTGGTAGTTGACAACGTTGATGCCCTCGAACACTTCGGAGTACTTTCCGCGGCCTGTTCCAAATGGTGGTTAGCACAAAACGTACACAATTCATTCGCCGTGCGGCCGGACGACGTTTTTGGTGTATTTGCGGGTAGATGACGGCCGGTCGTATTGGCCTTACCGATCTTGCGGACCACCTCGTAATTCTCCAAAACACCCCAGGAGATGTTCACACTGTCATAGTCCCAGTAGGACCGGGGCATATGTTCGTTAACATCGGCATAGACGCGCGCCATGTTGATGGCGGCTGGCAGGCAGATCCGGAGTCAGCCCACAATGAAACGTTTATCGATGATAAAAAGCGGCGGGGTAGGAAGGGCGGCGAGCGAAGAGGCGTCGTCGCGAGGGGAGAATTGCGATGGAGGGGACAGACAACAGCAGCTGCGAGGCCAGGTATGGTGGGGGCCTATGTCAAGAAGGCAGCCGTGCTATCGTCCGAAGCCAGCGATTAAGGGGAGGGAGGAGGGAAGAGGTGAGGGCGAGTATAGACTGTCTTTGGGGATGGAGATCAGAATGGGCTTAGGCTAGTAAGAGCGTTTCGCTCCGCCTTTGCAGTCACGGGACTCCCGTTCGTTGAAGGCTAGATCACCTGCCGGCCCGGAATAACCTGCATTCCCGGTCGATTTCTCGATTGCCGTTCTCGGACAGTTCTTTTGCACGCGGTCGCTATCCTTTTGCTTCTGCTGCCCCGTCTCCAACGTACTCTCGGGCGCATTCGAGCTTTTTAAGCTCGTCGCAAACTGCCAGCATCATGTTCTATGATCTCAATCTGCCCTATGCCTCGGATGATCCCGAGATCTCTAATACCTTAAGTTTTCTTGCAGAACGTGCGTCATGTTTCTCCCCTCGGCACAAGACCCGATCATCGAGCAGTCCCTCCCCCTCCATGACCACATGAAGCGCTGACCTGACGACCAGTTGGTTACACCACCGTTGCCCTATCCCAATCTATTACTGGAAAACTCCCCTCAAATCCTACTCCTCCACCAGCGCCAAAGAATGTTCCCAAGGGCCTGTCGCTCCTCACTCGCCTGAACCTGACCCTCTCCGACCCTGCGCAGAACCAGCGACTTGCCAGCCTGACTCAGGTTTATGATCTTGTCGCAATAAGGCCCACCAATGAAAAGGCGCTCCTAAATGCATGCACCAACCTCGAGTGTGATATCATCTCGCTGGATTTCTCCATACGACTGCCCTTCCACTTCAAGTTCAAGATGGTTTCCGCTGCTATATCACGTGGGGTTCGATTCGAGATCTGCTATGGACCAGGAATCACCGGGAGCGGACTTGACGCTCGCCGCAACCTAATCGGGAATGCGATGTCGCTGATACGAGCCACGCGCGGCCGGGGAATCATCATTTCGAGCGAGGCGCAGCGAGCTCTGGCTGTTCGGGCACCATGGGATGTGATCAACCTGGCATGCGTTTGGGGTCTTTCGCAGGAGCGTGGCAAAGAGGCGATCTGCGAGGAGGCCCGGAAGGTGACCGCCTTGGCCAAGCTGAAGCGGACCAGTTGGCGAGGAATCATTGATATCGTGGCAGGGGGAGTGACTAAGACGAAAGCGAACATACCGTTTCAGAAGAAGTCCCAGGAGGCCACCGGCGATAACTTGAAGAGAAAAGCATCGGTGGGGTCAGAGCCAACGGGCGAAGAGGCGGAGAAACCACTGTCCAAGCGCGAAATGAAGCGCCGGGCCAAGAAGGCTCGGTTGGAGTCTGCCGGAGCTTGAGCGAGTTCAGCTGAGGGAACCTTATGTGCTACAGCGGAGCAAGGGCGCGCTTGTCGATTGCCCAGGTTGCTCGCGGATCCACATTCCTCGCCTATCGTCTGCAGGCTGACTCTAGGGGCCTTGTGCCGGTCAGGCCGTCAGCTTGCTGGTGCGACTGACAGTATACTTATGACGAAATGAACAAACCCAAGGGAGCTGCAAGAGCCCAGGAACTTGGACATCAACCTAAATACTTGGGTTTTTGACAGGAACAGACTCCTGACATCTAGCATCACCACAGCGTATGAATCACCAGAGTGCACTGGCATGCTCGATGATTCAATACCGGTGTGATTAGCCGCAGCTAGCCTTACCATTAGACTTTAGGCATATTAAAGTCGCCCATGTAACGAATCAACGCTAATCAATGACAAATTACCGCATCCGTGAATATACCTAGCGTCATCCTTTTGAACAGTACTAGTAGTTAGGAAGTCACTATGACATCCATGCACTTTTATATACCAGTACAACTAATTCGAGCATCTGTAGCCATAGACCAGTAATAATATATATCTTCACCCTGATGTCAGATAATAATCAATAGTGAGAATATACTTAACGGGCAACCGAACCGGGCTTCTTTTCGCTGCTTGAGTCTGTCTAACTAGTACTAACTTACTCCTGTGACTTCTAAATGATACTGCATACCAATCACTAGTTACTACCGCTCAGTAAATACCACCACTACTAACTATACTACTAGGAATATAGCACAGATAGAGTAGCTATTACTGCTAGTCACCACTATTTGAAGACTACCTGTTCTACACTCGAAAAATAAAGGGATGTCCAGGAAATGGAAAGGTATTCCTTCTTCCATTACGCAACTACTTACACTTCTGGAGCAGCAACTAACTAGCACTTAGCAACGGCTGGGCTTTCTTCTAGGCAATACAATATGATTGAAGAATAAACTCGTGCAAGTGCTTAGCACATAGTGATCATTTTAATATATTGATTGTGAATACTCCGATCCAGAGTAGGCAATAGTATAGTACACTCGGCAGTAAGTTACCACTACTACTACTACTACTACTACTACTACTACTACTACTACTACTACTACTACTACTATACTACTACTATACTACTACTACTACTACACAGATATCAACTACTCACTTACTAGTAGCAAACCAATAAGCCAGTAAAAGGCGATGATAAATAAATATCTTACACATTCATATTTTCATTTATTACCTTTCAATAAACTCATCCACCATCCCCGTAACATCCAGTCCAGCTCAGTACCTGACCTAACCCAACATAAGAAAACATATACACAAACAAGCATCCATCCATCCTACCGTCCCCGTCCCCGTCCCCGTCCCCCACCAACCAATTCTCAACAGGAACAGAACTGAAAAGTATCATATCTCATCATCACATGCAATGCATATCATCAATGCAAGAACCACCAGCACCAGGGTATGATAACGAACTCAAAAGCAAGAAGGACAAGAGCCTTGTCTCCGAAAACTCCACGCAAACCCAACTCAACCAAAGCAGATCAAAGCAACCTAGAATCGACAACCATGACACACAAGTTATATCGCAGAAAATGATTCAATGAGCGCCAATTCGGTCAAGAAGATGCCGACGCCATCCCGTCTAATTCAACCAGAACTCGGAGATCTCCGTCCATCCAGTCGACATTGCTGGCTGAGACGAGGGCCATCGCCCACTCGTTGTCGTTTTGCACCGGGGCCAGTCCATCTGGGAGCCAGACCTTAAATTTCCAGTTAAGTTGAGAGACCCAGTCCATGTTGGTCTCGGAAGAGAGGCCTGGCAGTTGGCCGGCGAATTTGCGGGAGATGAGCTGCTTGAGGGTTTCAAGATCGGTGCACTGGCTTCCCGGGATGTCGAAGCGGGGATGGGCGCGTTTTCCGTCTTGGAGGATGTTGATTCGGAGTGAAACGTTGGTTGGAGGGGACGGAGAGGAGCCGACACTTCCAGAGACAGCGCTGGGGAGAGGTGGGAAATTCGGAGGAGGGAATGGCTGCGGCTGGGGCACTGGTGCCTGGCTGTGGGGTGATTGATGGACATTGTGCTGGGTCGCCAGGCTGTCTCGGATGATCCGCGAAATGTCACGGGTGATGCTGCTGGCACTAGAGGGTTGTTAGTGATATACAAAATTTGTTAACCGTGATGCTGGGGACGTACAATTCATTTCTGGCAGGCCGGTCTGAGTTCCCGCCAACACGCCAACGCAGGTCCGAGGTGACATCTGCATTCAAGATGCGATGGAGGTTCTCATCCTCACATGGCGACGGACAGTCATAACCGCCGTTGTGAATGACCTGGAAGTGGCTATCAATGGCAGCGACCAGTCCGCGCCAATCCGGCTGCTGGAGACCCGAGATGTACCACAGGTTGTCAAGCTCGTAATTATGATTGTACATGTCATATGACTTCGAAAACGAATCCCAGTCAGTCGAGTACCCATCCAGCAAGAGATCCGTGAGACCCAGATCCACCTGAGACCCGGTCCCGAGCTGCGGTTGTGGTGCCGACAACCCGGTCTGTGCAGAAGCATAATCGTCCGGAATATGGTGGTGTGAATGCATGTGGAGTTGATCATCTGTCGGTGTGGTCGCGTTCAGATTCTGCAGACTGTCCTCTGTCTTGCGTCTCCGTCGCTCTTCAGTGCCACCTCCTTTTCTAGTCTCAACTGCGTACTGCCGCTGACGCTCATTGGTGACCATTCGGCGCAGCAAAGGAATAACTAGGGAGATGATCTTCTGCTGGTCACGGGGCCAGATGTATGTCCTGGGCCCCATGCCCTCGTTGACAACATTCTCCCCGAAGAAGCGCTCACCATGGCCTTCAACCTCAAGAAAGTGGCGTACGCAGTTCCACAACCGCAATTTAACCATCTCAGTGTCTCCCTTTCCACGTTGACCAACACAGTCGCGCCGCTCCGGGTGGCGATCATCCAGCATATATGCTTTAGCCGCCGCCTGCAGATGCAAGAAGTTCTCCGGCGAGAGCTCCAGCGACGCAAACAACTTTGACATCGGCGGACGAGTGTACTTCTTGTTACTCGACGGCTGGCGGAACAAGGCAGCGGCGGAATGCAGACCCACAGCGCGAGCTTCGGAGAGAGACTGCGACGGCGCGACACCCAGACCCTCCCCGCCATAGTGATGTGCATGCTGGTGATGCTGCTGCTGTTGGTGGTGAGGGTGGTGAGTGCCTGCAAGACCGACAGCAGCTCCCGCAGTCAACGCAGGATCCAGCGCATCCTCATTTCTCTTCCGTTTCTTCGTTGGCACCCTAGTCAACCCACCGGAAGGCTGGCCATGTTCACTCATAGAGGTAGACCCCGGTCCGCGCATGTGCCGCTGCGGTCCCATTCCAGCTCCGAAACTTGCATCTGCGAAGCTATCCTCATCGATGTGGGTATCCGGACCATATTCGAGGTGATGCTGGAGTCCCGCAGCCCCCGCCGCAGCAGCGACAGCGGCAGCAGCAGCCCAGTCGGAGACTTCCTGGCCGGCAGCAGCAGTGGCGGCCTCCACCAATCCAGCTAGTTGATTCTCACTGGGCGCATATCCACTATTTGCGAGGTGGTTATTAGGGTCGACATTAGCGGAGGTGGTCGGGTTGGTCGAGAACTCGGCAGCCGAAGTTGACGGAGGATGTTGATGGTTTGAGTTGGAAGTCGATGCCATTTCAGTTCGGGTCGCGTGAGCGCGTGAAACGAACAGTCACTCAAAGGTACGTAAGCAGAGCGATATTAGGGGAGTCACGCAGATAATAGAGTTATAACACAGAAGTGCGGCGCGGCGAAGCCGTCACCACTCCGGACAGCTACAAGCTCGATTAGTTGATCCTATGTGGCAAACAAGCTTCAAATCCCGATTAACAGGACCTGAACGTAAGGTAAACACTCCGAAACACCAAGTCGTCAGCTCCTAGTTCGTGGATCGTGATTTGGAGCGTCCGTCGCGTGCGGGTGAGCGTTGACGGTGCTTGTTGACAGTGCGCCAAACAACGCAGCTTCTAGAAAGGACACCCGGGGCTCCCGGGCAGGGAGGAAAACACGGTCGCCTACGGCGAGCGGGGCGCGTGAGTGAATAGCAGATCAGCAGATGTCAACAAAAGACAATAAGGTCTCGCGCAAAAAGGCGAGGACGGCGATATAGTTTGTATAGATGGAACTGTTTAACCCGATGACGCTGTTTGGCTGGTTTGAAGAAGGAGCAGACAGTGCAAACTCTGCAGGGAAGACGCCGTTGCACATTGCCCAACCCAGTTAGCCGCGGTGGATCTGGGTCACGTGATATATAACAGAGTATCATCAGGCATTCACTATCCTGTCAGTAAAGGCAGTTAGTCAACATATAGCATGATTACTACACAACATGTGCTGTATATGACAGTTATATAAATGCTTTTCATTATTCAATTTGGAGCCTGCCAAACTGGTCCTAGCTGCAACGGATATCACAAGATCTGGCACAATCCCCAGCACATCATCCAAGTATCGCAGGCCAAGAAAACATATCAAACACAATGGAATCAAAAATCGTATCTATACCAGGCATCGCAGCAAGCCACCTGAACCCCAGACAAGTCAAATATGAACACAAGAAGATGAAGATGATGATATATAGTCCCTCACGGCCAGGAACCGAAAGGGTTATGAGCTGTCGGGGTTTGAACAAAGAAAGTCAAAAAGACAATGATCGTCAATAAATCCTAGGCACTCTCAATGGAGAATACTTAGAATCCATCGCCCTCCTTCCAGGGTCTCCCGACTTCGCGGGCGCGTGCTTCGGGGTCCTTGCCACGTTCCGTAGCATTTACCACCAGCTCATTGATGAGTAGCTCCTCCATGTCGATCAGATCTGCGAGCGTCAAATCCTCGCCTGGCTGCGGGAAACTCAGGTGGCTTTCCTCGCCCAGCGTCCCGCTCATGCGCGTCAGCTCGATCATGTCGGCCCGAACGTTCCATCCTTTAAATTGCTCCTCGAGCTCAGACTTCTTCGCATGGTGGCCTCGGAATGCATCATACTCATCCTCGCCGCCAAAGCAGATGCCAAATCCATCGCAGTAACAAATGTGCTCCTTAATGCAGTAAACGTTCTCTCCGGTGAAGACGACATGCCACAAGTATTCCCAAATTCGACCGGAGATGTAGTCGCTGAGCTCTGTCCGGAGCATCCAGTCGCGGAAATATACGAAGCGGGCTCTCGGAATGGCATGAATACGGTCGCGCGATACGGCGAATTGAGCGCAGCAGGGTTGGGCGAGGACTTCTGGGATCGGATCATCGGGGAAGATCTCTCCCCAGGCTCGGGCCAGCATAACCTCCTCTTGCTTCGTTTGATCCTCCACCAGCGTGCCCGGATGCAACCAGGCCGGACAACCGGGACT